GTCTTATCAAATAATTAAAAATTATTAGCAATGATGAATAAAAATGAGGTTTTAATTTTTGATATCATGAATAATAAAGCTATTTAAAAATTGAATTTTGGTGATTGTTTTTCTTAATATAAAGAAACTATTATATTTGGTCCAGATGATTAATCTATAATTTTAGGAGGAAGTGATGGAGCAGACGAATTACGTTTGATTATATAATATGAAAATGTTGCAGAAATTAAAAATTCAAATATTAGATCAAAACATGCTACTAAAGCTAATTAAAAAGTTAAAATGATTGAAGATGATAATGATGATAATGATTTAATTTAGACAAATAATATTTAATAATCATAAAAAAAGAAAATGATCAAAGTTTAACCAGATAGTATTGTAGCACCAGATGAATTTCATTCATTAACATCTGAAAAAGTTTATGAATTAAAATGTGCAAAAGTTGTTGTTTTATAACATTTTTTCAATTTTTCAATTTATAATTAAAAAGATAAGAAATTAGAAACTCATGAATCAAATCTAAAAAAATTGACATGTTCAGATATAAATAGAGATTCAACTTTAATTGCCTTTGGAGGTGAATAAGGAGAATTAATTGTATTTTAAATATCATCTATTGATATTAATTTCGGTTTAGTAGGTCATAAAGAATATATTTCTCAAATCTAATTTTCTACTGATGGAAAATAACTAGTATCTTGTTCATGGGATAAGACAATCAGATTATGGAATATTTAATAAAAATCTTTAATAAGTCAAACAGCATTTATCTTAAAACCTAAAGTATATTCATTATGCTTAGTTAATAATTCAGCTTTAGCTTTAACAGGATTTAATGATGGACTTATTTAATTATGGGACTTAGAAAATTCTGATTCAAGGATGGATGTTAATAAAGGACATTAAGCTGAAATAACATGTGCAATATTTTCACCAGATGGAAATTACATCATCTCAGGATCAGTAGATAAGATGATTAAAATTTGGAATACAAAAAGTGGAATTTAAGAAGGATAAAATTTAGTTAAACATAATTAAACAATCCTATCATTAGCTATCTCAGATGATTCATATTTATTATGTTCTGGTAGTTTAGATGGTTATGTTTATTTATGGGATTTTAAAAGTCAGAAATTTAATAAATAAATAAATTTATATGGAAGTTAAGTAAATGATATCAAAATTATAAAATATAATAATGAATATAGAATTTTGACTTAAACTAATGAATCTGTTGTTTAATTATGGTAGGAGAGTCTTTAAGAATACTATTTACTATATGATTATGTAGATGTTAATAAGAGAAGTATTTCTGCTTAAGAAAGTAGCGAAATACTTTTACAATCTAAAAATTCAAATACTTTTGTAAGAGAATTTAGAAGTATTACATATGATGCTCTTAAAGATCATAAGATTACATCTATAGGAGCTAGTATAGATGGATTAATTAAATTAGTAGGAACAGATAAAGGTACATTATTAATTATAAAACCTGATTCAAGATCAGAATAAAAATTAACATAACTCTCTCAACCAATTTAAATGATAAAGACTTTAAATTCTAAATACTTTTTAACAGTAATTTAATAAAATATATTTATATGGTGGTTTTCTGATTTTACAATAAAAGAGTCTATTTTAACTGAAAATAGAGTAATAAATGATATTCTTGTAATTGAAGATTAATTTATATGTGCAGGAAATCTAATAGAAATTTGGACTATTTCCAATTAATTCAAAGTATAAAAAAAAATATTTATACAAAATGCTACTATAACAGCTATTGGCTATGATTAAAAAAACAATAAAATTTATGCAGGATTATATAATGGCAATATTGCTGTAATTGATTAAGTTACAGACGAATAGATATAAATTGAATAAGCTCATTCTAAAGAAGTAAAAACAGTTCATTGGCTTAAAACAAGAAATTTATTATTAACAGGAGGAGAAGATTTATCATTGAAAATTTGGGGTTCTGATTTAGGACTTATAAAAGAGGTTGAAATTTATGATAATCTATAATAAACTTTTATTTCATCTAATGAAATTTATATGATAGTTTAAGAATCACATCAAATAAGTATTTGGGATTTATAATAAATCGAATTAGTAGAGAACATGATCAAAATACAAAAATAGGCTAAAGTAATGTTAATAAATTCTACTTAACAAGTATTTTGGACTAATGAATAATAAATATCAATGTTACCTATCATGAATAAAAAAATTAAATCATCATATATGATGGAAAAATAATCACATGATCCTGAATTTATGGCAACTACTGAAAAGATGATAATTACAGCAGATAGAAAAGGAAATTTATTTATGTGGGATTATGATGGTGAAAAAATTGATTAAAAGAGAACAGATAAGTAAAATGAATTAAAATCTATTAATTTATCCTATGATTAAACTAAACTTGTTTTAGCCTTTAAGAATTTAATTACTGTCATTGATTTATAAAAAAAGTAAGATATATTTAATAAAGATTTCTAAAATTTTGAAATAACTAGAGCATTATATTTAAATAACAATGATCTAATTATTGTTACTAATTCAGATAAATCTCAAGTTATAAAATTTTCAGTTTTAGATTCAAAAAAGGAGATTATCATTAGTAATCATATAGGTAAAACTCTTGGGGCTGCAACTTATTATTAATCTTATTTAACTTATGGATCAGATTAAGCAATTAGATATTATGTAGAATAATAATCATGCAAATTTGTATTTTCTTCATAATTATAATTTGAATGTGAAGGGGCATAAATAAGAAACAGTGAGATTTCATTTAAATCAAGAATTGATCTTGCAGTTTTATTTAAATAGAAAAAGGCTATTTTAGAATGAAAAATTTAATTATATATATAAATAAATATTTATATTGAAATCAAAAATGATAATTGTTTTTTTAACAGTTATTTATTATAATTGATTCTACAAACACACAAAATGATTACAAAATAAATATCTAATATTTAATGATTAATAATAAAAGTTTATTATTTAAATCTGAAGATAAGAAAGATCAATTAATTTTATTATTATATTTTAACACTAACTTTGAATTCACTTTTTTGATTTCTTTTATTTTTCATATTACTCTCTAAGTTTTCTATCATTTCTTTATAAGTTTTCTAAAAGCTCTTTATTTTTTTAAGCGTTAGGAATATCTCCAATTTTCAAAGATTGTAAATCAGATCTATTCTTGTGGTCACTTTCAAGTGGTTATTTATCCATTTTAATTTTGAATGGAGTTACATATCTATAATCCCAATATCTCACATTATCAAAATTAATGAATCCTATGTATGTACCATATACAGTTGAAACCTTTTATCCTTTGCATGTAATATCTGCTTAGAAATAATCAGAAGTTCTAAACTTTTAATTTAAATATACTTCTTTTTAACTTTTCCAATATCTATAATACATTATAAACCATTAGCTTTATCTTGAAATGTAATTTTATTGATAGATTCCTATCTAAGTTAACCAAAGAAGGTTCCACTATAGAGTTCATTAGGGAAATCAAAATCAATCTTTTACCCATCATTGAATTCAATTGATCTCTTTCCTTTATTTATAATCTAATATAGAATATTTTATACTGTCACAGAATTTAAGCCTGCTCTTCCTTCAACCAAATAATATCCATAGTATTTGTACTTCTTGTTTGGTCCATAAACTAAAAAGTAACTTACAGGTGGATGATGCATAATTTATTCACAATATATTTATGTTCCATCATTATATGATGCTTATAAAGTTTCACCCAATATTGGATTAAGCTAAATTAATATTAATAATACAGGTTTCAAAAATGTATTAGTCCAAAAAAATGAAGATAATGTTGCTGTGATAACTAATTTGAATCTTTCCAAAAAATCTGGTGTCATAGTTGCCTTTGTAATATATAAGGGAAATATGGAAGCTATGATAATTTACTTATATTTATTACTTCCATGAACAGCAGTTTCTAATGCAGTTTTAGGAATCATTACTCTAATAGGAAAACTCACTTTAGTAAGATTCAATGATCCTGATAGGATTTTCTTACCTATTTATTTTACCATTTCTTTTCCTACACTTCTTGCCTTGCTTACTACTTTTTTATCAGCACATATTCTTCCTCCTTTTTCATATCCTTCAACATGGCGAATATCTTCATCATTTGGAAAATTTTTAAAGCTAAGCACCAATTAAAGTATTTCATCTACTGGTAAATCATGATAACCAACATAATCCAATTTATCAGGATCAGCAATACCTTCATTTTCCTTGTCCTATTCTTAAACTTATGTTATAGGATCAAATCCTTTTTCCTCCAATTCTTTATCCTCATTGGTAACAACTTAAGTATCATCCTTTAAATTTATCAAATATTTTACCTCAACAAAATCACTCTCATCTTTTTCCTCTTATTACTGTTAATTAGTTTCAGGCTTCTTTTTTTTGAACCAACTAAGCATATTTTGATGACAATTAATTTAAAATAAAAATTTATTAGTAATATATTCAATTACATATTCAAATATTGAAAAAAGTATAGTTCCTATTATCTTAACATCATAGTTTAAATTATTAAAATACATTTTTATATAATCAAATAAAAGTTCATATAAACTACCTTTTTAGGTATTTATAGTAACAATCCACATGTATCTATGTATTTAAAATAATTGATATTTAATCAATTAATTAATTAAGTACTTTATGATTTTATATATTTACAAAAAATCCTCTAATACATTTAAATCATTATTTGATTTATTTATATTCAATATAAAAATAATTATATTTTTACACATATCTATCTATATGTTACTATTATTCTTCTTAGTAAGTAGTATTATTAATTTTGAATACATAAATTATTCTTAAGTTTTTTTAAAAATTTATTTGATTTAATGTGTTTTATTTTAATTACTATTAAAATGAGAAAATGTTAGATTAAAAATATTAATTTGATTATAAAATTTATATAATTCTCAAATCTTAATTGATATTTACATCAAAGCAATAAATAACATTAATGCTAACAGAATTAGTATATTTGAAGATAATTTATCATCTAATATTTTTGATATAAATGTAGCCTCCAATTTTTTCTCTTTGTATGTTTAAATAAATCTTATAGGAATTGATTATTTATTATTAATTATCTCTTAATTTTAACAAGAATGCTTTTTAGATGTTATTTTCTCTGGTCTATATGGTTTACATCTTGTCTCTGTTGCTGTAATATTGTCTTTTTACATCAACTAAGCATTTATTCTAAATTAATTGACTTTCAATAAAAGATCTTTTAGGCTTAATCTTGATTCTTCATCAATTACAAGCATTTTTGATACTAAATACTAAAGTAATTTATTTTCTACTGACAATAATTGATTTTAAATGTAATTAGCTATTATAATACAATATATTACTTTTCAATTTAATTTCAATATCTTTTAATAAATCTTGAGTATTAAAACCTCTAAAAGGTAATTCTCCTCCTTTTAATAATTCATACAATAAAACACCTAGAGACCAAATATCTGTTTTTGGTGAATAAACTTATTATCTTAATAATTGGGGTGATTAATAACATGGAGTTCCTAAAATGCTACTCATAGGTTCCTATTTTTATTTATAATATAGTATTACTTCATCTATATCACTTAAAAATTTGGATAATCCAAAATCAGATAGTTTATACTTTCCATTATGGATTAATACATTCTCTAATTTTATATCTCTATGAATTATGTTTTTAGAATATAAATAATTAAGAGAGTCAATAATATCCCAAAATACCTCTTAAGCCAATTTTTCATATTTCTACTAATAAAACTTTGGACATGGGTAAATTGATTAAAGTTCTCTAATTTTTTTCTTTAGATTGCCACCATTACAATACTCCATAAAAATATAAATGTTTTTGCCATCAAAATAAGAATGAGCCATTTTTACAATGTTTTAATTATCTAAAGTACTCATTATTGATAATTCTCTATCAACAAGCTACTTAAGCTTTTTATAGTTATTTTAACTTGATTATAATGATCTACTTATCTTAAAACTTTTACATTATTTTACAAGCATACTCTTGATTTAATTCATTTTAAGCCAAGTAAACACTTCCAAATCCACCTTTCCCTAACAATATGCTTTTATTGATTGTATAATTTAAAACACATTGGTACATGTTTTTAAATTTTATAAATTTAAGTTTTATAAATATAAAAAGCAATCATTTAAAGTTTTTAACGTATTCTTCATATTATTATTATGATAAAGTAGGTTTCACTTTTTCAATGGCTAAATCAAAGTCATCTTTCGAAACTGCCTTAATATCCTGACTATGAATTGAAAAAATAATAGATCGATCTGCTCTTAATGGTGTCATACAAGCTTCCTTAACAACTGCTTTGATATCACTTGCAGAATATCCTAATTAAATTAGAAATAGTTTATACCCTTAAGTTTCTCTGCAATCTATTGTAATTATTAATCTGTTAAATTATTCTTTACTTTACTCATAAGAGATTTAACCATTTCTACTCTTGCTTTGTATTCTGGTTAATCTATCAATATTTTTACAGTCTTAAATAAAAAATTCTAATTACAAATCTTCTTAGGACTGCATCATCTATATCTTAGGGTCGATTTGTTGCAGCAATCAAAAATACCCTATCTTAATCTGATGATTGAATTCCATCAAAAGATATTAAAAATTCTGTTTTTAATCTTCTACTTGCTTCATGTTCATTTTGAGATCTTTTTGAAAGTATTGAATCAATTTCATCTATAAAAATTACAGAAGGCTATAATTAAAAGGCAACATCAAATAAAGCTTTCATTAACTTTTCTCCTTCACCTATATGCTTTTATACTAATGTTGAAGCACTTATGTTGAAAAAGCAACATTTAATCTAATTAGCTACAGCTTTTGCAAGTAAAGTCTTTCCATTTCCAGGAGGCCCATAAAAAAGAATACCTTTTATAATTTAAAAAATTAACCTTTTGGAGGAGCTCTAATACCTGTATATATATCTGGTCTTAAATTTGGTAAAATTATTGTCTCTTCAAGTTGATTTTTTATGTGTTCTAAACCAATTATCTCTTCAAAACTGATATCGATTTTTCTAATCATGGAAGTCTCAATTATTTGTTGGCAATATGGGTCTTTTTAAGCCTAAATTAAGGTAAAGAAAAAATTTAACAATTTATTGTTATTTCTAAGTGATTTATTTATTACAGTATTCAGCAAGTCTAACTCCATCTTATAATTTTTCCAAAGCCATTGGTTTCACCTATTCAGAAATTTCTTTTTAAATTAAATATTTCTTACTGTTCTATTTTATTTATGAAAGGAGAGTGCTAGAACTTCTGAATAAGACAACCTTTGCAAATGTATATTGTCCATTTTTATAATATACCATTCCTTAATCGATCATTTTAAAAAGATCTTTAGTTTGATCTTCTTATTCAGTCTACTATTACATTTATCTTTCTTATTTAATAGGGAAACAAGATTTTGAATTCTATTAATCAGATCTTAGTAATTCTTCTTACATGTTTTTTATGGAATTTTATTAAAATAATATCATTACATTTTAATCTTTAATATTGAATAAACTATGAAGGTAATAATCAAAAATGGAATTATAAAAATGATTTCAAATGTACATATTAGCACAAAAGAATGATCATAGACCCATCAAAAAATCAAATAAAATACCTAATCTTTAATTAATCAAAAATGATGTTTATTATTAGTAGATGATGTTCAATTATATATTGAAGAAACATTGATAATTATATTCCCTATTTATTCTTGATTTATGAAATTGTAAAATAGGTATTTAAACCAAGAATTTTAAGAAAATATTTATTTTCTTTGAATTTAAATTTAGTGAATAAAATTATAATCATTATAAAAATTGACATCTAAAAATCAATACAATCCTGCTTTAATAAATGGAAGCCATTAAATAACTCTCATTTAGACATCCTTATTAACACTTATTATTAATATTATAATTACTTATTTGCAAGGTTCTTAAATTAAGGAATTTTGCATTTCAACTAGTATGCTGATCTACACAATTCAAATTATTCATCAAAGGATAATTAAGATACATTAGAATCAATCTTAAGAATTATATCTTCAGCTTTAGATTGAAGAGCTTTGAGAAATTCATAGCATTAATTTTAAACTTTAATTGTGATCATCTCATATTCTTTTAATTTTACCAAAATATCAGAAAAATTAGGTTTGCTATCATAAATTTATTAACTTAACTATATAATAAATATTAAGAATTACATTAGATGTGTAAATATCATCAACATCTTTAAATATAGCAAGAATCTCTGCATTCCATTATTGAATTTTTGTTATTTACTATCTTAATTCATTTAATTTTGGCAATGAAAATTTGATATCAGTTTTCTAAATTTATAACTTGATTTCCTTTTCATATTATATAATTAATTATTCATATTACTCCAATGTTGATTACTATTTCATTTGTATTTGTAATTAATTATTTAGATCTTATTAAATCTTTAACATTTATATTGTTTTAATTATTTAATTATCAACGTCTTATAATAATTCAGGATATTTTTCTTTTACATACATATATAGTTATTCTGTTCTATCCAATTAAGGTTTTTTCATTTATTTTGTCTTAAAAGTTGCCCTACTTTATAATTGTTCATTTGCAGAAGATAAAAACTCTTTTTGGCAAATAAGTGAAATCAGAATCTTTTATTAAGGTAAATTTATTGGTAGCCATTCACTTTCTGCATATAATGCAATCAATTATGGCATTTACAAGTTTTTCAAATCATTAAAAGATATTAACCATTAATCTATTTTTTACTCAAGTAGCTCAAGTAGTTCAAGTTCAACCAATTGTGCTGGTAAATTCTTACCAATTTTTAGAAAATCTTTGAATTCTTCTACAGTTGGTAATTAGAATTGAGAGTATATATATTCTCCTGAGTTAGGAAGTATATTTTTTTCCAATAATTATTTTTACTTCTAATAGCTATCATAAAGTTCTGATTATGGGTCAAGACATTGATCCCACAAATTCTCATTTAAAATTAGAAATGGAATATTCATTTTTATCAAACAAACTAATAATATATTTATATATATTTACTTCTGCAAATATATTTATCTGATTATTATTCTTTTAATTTCTTTATTCCCATACATTCATAATGATACCATTCTTCACAATTATCGCATAATATCATGTATTTTACCTACTACTATTATTTTAAACACTATTAATGAAATAATTAAACATTATTCTCATGTAAACTTTTTATTATTTAAAAATCTGAAATTGCTGATTCACCTCCTTGTCTACAAGTACAGTAGACTTCCTCTTAGCTATATAAATTTAGTAGTTCTTAAGATTACATTTTTATCCAATCTAAGAAATTTGGGCTACCTATTTCAACTTCTACATTAGGTAGTATTTTTCTATTTAATCCTTTTTTATAACACCTTTTATTTGTTGTCTTCTTTATAGCTTATATGACAGGATCAGAGGTCAAAATTTCATTAGAAGCTGATTTGAAGGCTTTTCCCAAAGGTATATTTGCATCATAAAATGCTATACTGTCATCTCTCATTAATTTTGAAACTTATTTTACTCTTTTAGAATGTTTAATGGACTGACTTTCTTAATCAATAATAGGTTAAGATTCTTCTTAATTTTTTATTCTAAATTTATTTATAGATTTTAGCATTTTTTTTTTATTGTTTGATATTTATTAAGTTGGTTAATATTGTTATTATTATTATTATTGTTATTGTTATTATTATTGTTATTATTGTTATTATTGTTATTATTATTATTATTATTATTGTTATTATTGTTATTATTGCTATGATTGTTATTATTGTTATTATTATTATTATTATGCTGATTAAGATTTAGAATTCTTTAATTCTTAATTCTAAATTTAATCTAAATAATCTAAGAATGGCTTTAATTTCTATACCACAATTAAATTTTTTAGTCTAGGTGTGTCATTTATCATTTCTAAAGCCATTTATATCCAATTATTTATGACTCTAAATTTTTTATTCATAACATAAAATTCAGGCATAAAAACTTCAGAATAAAAGTGGACATCCTTAACACTTTAAACTTATAATGCTATATCAGCTTATTTATTTATTGTCACTAATTTTTCAATAGAACTTATCAATTCTTAACTAATGTAATTATTCTCTATTCCTTGCAAAACAAGACAAAGAAGTTCTGGTACCTTAAAGTAATACAATAAATCACCAGTTAAGTAATAGGATTCTGTTAATGATTCTGAATCCTTATGCTTTTTTTTTTTTTTTTGTTATTATTAATCATTGACATTGATTACTTAACATTACCATGACTACAATTATTCAGTCCATTCATCAACTTATTAAGAAATTTCTTCATTTTAAACATCCCTTTAATAATCTTTTAACTTTTATACTTTAATTGGTTAGAGTTTTTTTAATTTGCTTTCATCTAATTTTGCTAATTGATTTAAGTAATATTTTATGGTGTTTTAAAAATTAAAATAAAAATTTTATGCAAGTTTAGATAATTTTGTGCCTTCTTTTTTCTTTTTGTTTTATGGATTTTGTGCATATATTTAAAGCATCTCTTCTTTTAGTTATTTTATTGATTCATCATTTTATAATGCTTTCATGACTGGTTCAAATAGAGGATCTTGATTATGAATAATAGATTTTATCCAACTTATCTTTATAGATGAGGCATGCAAATTTTATAGTTCTTTTACTAGTTAATCTTCTACAGGTAATTTAGGAGCTTCATCTAATAAATTTTTGATAAGTTCTTAATTTTATGTTTATAAAGCCTCTTAGGCATCCTTATTCCATTTCTCAATATGTTGTGTTAATGCTTAGATTATTTACAAATCTTTTGTTCCACTTAAAAAAGGAGATTAAAACTTTTATAATTTATCTATTTAATCTTAAGTTTATTGTGACCCATACTTTTAAATATACATTTTTCTAATTGTATCTATTCCATCAATTTATAAAGTTGTATCATCATTAACTCTTAATGTTTATTTTATAAGAGTAACCTATGCATGCCAATCTAAAATTTGGAGTATAGTTTATCTGACTTTGACCATCAATGATAATTCCTATTTATATTTTAAACCCTCCTTAAATAATTCCCATAATTTATTAAATGATTTATTTTAATTACCCTTTCTATTCGTTTATTGAACCTATACTTATTTACAATCAATTAATGAAATTAATGAGTCTTTCCAAATTGCAACTCTCTCTGCAATTTTATTTATTTCTTAAACCTTTTCAGGATCCAACTATTTAATTATATCCTATGAGGGTTAAAACAAGGTGCTAGGGTATTATTGTAATTCAAAATTATCATGATAAACATCAATTAATGTTACATTATCATGATAATTTATGATTTCATCTGCTAATTAATTCCATTCTAAAACTTTATGATTTATTTCCTGTAATTATTTAAGATCATCATTTATTATACCTCTATTGAATAGTGTTTATATCTAATCATTAGCCTCTTAATGTTATCCATTTGACATATTTAGTTTTATTTAATCCAAAATTTAAGAATAATCAATAATACTTTGTAATTTTTCTTATACATCCAAATAAAATGGACAATCTAAAACTTCTAATAATAATCTTTGTTGTAATTCAGGATCATCAATTTATTATTATGCTCTTTCATTTAATTCTAATGCCTATTAATAGAGTTCATTAAAATAATCAAAATCATCACATGTAACAATCAAGTATAGAATTTGTTAATTAAATAATCCTGCTTGAGCTAATGTTATTTTCTCAATTTTTTCTCCTTAATTAGAATTCTATTAACCTAGTCTTGTTTTTGTTTACTAAGTTTTTGTAAATTTTATAATTTTCTCTACTAATTCTAAAACATAATCATATAATCTTTTGTGCAATAATTCAAATGCTTTTATTTCAATTGGTAATTATTTGTATTCTTAATTACAATTTGCAAGCACTCTTAATTAAATTTTCTAATTCAATGAGTTAGATATCAATTTCTCAAAAACTTATTCAAAATTCTCATTATCATTAAGTGGTATTGGAAGCTTAGATAATTTTACAAAAAATGATTCAGATTTTTAAACTTAATCTCTTAATTATTAAATTTCAGGTGTTATTATTGGAATTTATTCTTCATATTTTTCTAAAGTTTAACGTAACTTTTCTAATGTTTATTTTTCTTTGAATAATTTATTTAATTATTTTTGTATTTATATTGAGGATTAATGAATTTATTTTATTGATTCAGGTACCTCATATTTTAATTATTATCCTTACTCTAACAATGTTTATAATTAAGCCAGATGAACCTTTTATTTGTTATTTATCAACTCCATTAAATCTTATTTCCATTTATTTTATTGCATCATTTTATCTTCATTCAACTTACTAATATATTATTCAATTTTTTCATTCATATATTCATCAGTGAATTTTAATGCATGCTTATGTTTATATTGATTATATATGATTAAACTTGGAAATAACAAGTAAAATTTAGCTTTAATAATGTTATAATCCATTGATTTCAAAAACATCAAAGCCTTTTCATTAACTTGCTCTTATGTTATAGATAATCCACTTAAAATTAAGCCATCACCACTAAATCCTTTATTCTTCTTTTTAGTATCATCTGTTATTGTTTCATCTACTTAGTTCAAAATTAAAGATGATGCAAATAGTAGATAATCTTCAATATTGGAAATATTTTAGATTTGCTAAGTTTAAAATACTAGACTTTATCTCTAATAATAAATAACATTATTTACATGCTTTTTAAATTTTTCTAATGTTTTTTCAGGTTTATCTGGAACCATTGCTTAACATTTCTCATCAACAATGATCATTCGTTTAGAATGAAGAAATCTGTTCTATTAATGAACTTCCTGAACTTTCACATCGCTTTATTCAATTTCCATTGGATCATCCATGAAATTCATGATCTCTTTTAATATTAATATAATTTTTTAATGGATTTTTCATAATCGTTTAAAATAGGAGAATTGGAGTAGTTTTTTTCTGTATCATTTTATAATAGTATAATAGATAAATATATAGATATTATCCCTATCATTTAATAGAATTTTAAATGAATTTAGTTAATTCATTTATTTCCCTCATTTTTATTCCAGCTATTCCTTTATCAATATCATTAATTTAAATTAATTCTTAGTAATCTAAGATATTGGTCACAAGTGCAATATATCGCAAACGTTCAGGATTAGGCTTCCCTTCTTTTTTTAGTTCTTCTTATGCAATAATATTAAAATAGTTTCTTAATACTTCTTTATAAATTTCTTAAAATTTTTCAGTTTAAGAAAGTTCATACACTTCACAAATCCAATTGGGACTAAGATACTTTTCAAGATTTTTAAAATTAGCTCTAATTTAGATATAATCAATACTAAACAGTTTGAAATTCTATTGCTAAGTGTGTAGAAAGTAATTCATTTTCCTCTTCAAATTCCCTCATGAAGGTTTTAAAAGTTTATTTTTTAATCAATTAAGCATATAATTTATTTTCTTTGATTTAAGCCCTTAGTCTATAATGTGAGAAATATATTTGCTTTATTAAAATGTAACTAACAAATATGCAATCAAAGACATTTTTATGTTGAAATTATTTCATATCATTATAAATTATACTTAAATAACTTATAGGTTATTTCGCTTTGATATATTAATTTATAATTTCTGTTTCTTCTTAATCTATTTTGTGTTCTTCTTAATGCAGAATATCAGATTGTAAATATTTATCATTTACTTAATGATTAGTTTATTGATTTAAATAATTAATTTTTGATTTTTTGGAATTTTTTTTTGATTAATTTAGTAATTCCTAAAATTTATCATTAGTTTTATGTATTTCGTTTTAAAGTTATTCATCATTTATTGGATTCAAGGTTTCATATTGTTTTTCATTTGCTTCTGCTTTTTAATAAAATAATTTGCTTTTATGTACATCGATATCAGCCAAATATTAAGTATGATCTTTAATTATACTCACTTAACTTTATATAAAATATATACTTGAACTTTATCCCATAAAAATCGAATTACTAAATAAATCACTCCATTTTAACCGCTATTTTGGATCATATTTAAGCATATTTGATAATAAATCACAAATGTTTTTGTCAACAATTTCTTTAGACTTTAACTTAAATTTTGGAGGGTCTAATATGAAATATTTTCTTTAATGTACTTTGTTCTTTAACTGCATTAAGGAATGTCGTTTTATCAAAAGAATTAAAAGGAAATTAAGAAAATATCATTTGATATAAAATTACTCCTATTGCAAACATATCTGCTTGTAAACCATATGGTTTTCCTTCTATAGTTTCTGGAGCCATAGTTCCATTTGAACCTAAATTACCAACAGCCAATCCATCCTAATTGATATAAAATAATATTGACTTAATCTTATAACAAATGGCAAAAACCAAGATCAGCTATTTTTAATATATCTCCATGTAATAATATATTAGCCATTTTTAAATCTCGATGAATAATTTTTTATTTATGTAAAGCTTTCATACCTTTCAACAATTATTTAAAGAAAATCAATGCTTGAAATTAAGGGATAACTAAATCATTTTTTTTCCAATAATCCTCTAAAGTACCACCTTTGAAAATAAATAGTCATATTTACCATCACAATATTCTAAAATAAATACGGCATAATCTATTGTATCAAAAGATTCATATAGTCTAATTACATGATCAGATTTTAGTAAATTCAATGCTGTTCTTTCATTATTAACTAATTATCCTAAAAACCCGTTATGCTCTTTTAATCTTATTTTGAGCATAGCTTTTAATGCTACAGTCCCAAATTTTTTAGATTTAGCTTTAAAAACCTAACATAATTATACAATTTACAATTCCAAAACTACCATTACCAAGGAAATCTAGTAAAACATAATCTCCTATTTTATCCCCTTTTTTAAGTTAAGGAAGAGACATTTTAATTAAAAAAAAATATAATAATTATTAGATATGACACATATTTCGTATGTTTTTCTTTGTTAAAAATACTAAAGAAGAAATCAATTATCTAAAATTACATATGTTCTTAATTAATTGGTTTTCTCAGTATAATAATTAATCATATTCTAAAATATATTCAACTTTAATAATTTATGTTAAAGAGGATGTATTAGCTTAGATTTTTTGAAGTCAAAGTTATTAATATCTATCACAGTTTCCTTAAACTGCTTGTTTAACATAAAGAATTATTAGCAGTACCTAATCATATTGTATATAACATAAATAATTTAATTATTTTCTTTGCAATAATTTAATTGATTTTTTTATAGAGATTGTTAATTATATATTTTTTATTTATTTGATTTGTGAAAATTTATTGAATTCTTCGATCCAGATAAATTCTATTATTGGCAATATCTTGAAATCGAAGATCAATCTTTATGTATAATTACTTTTCTAATTCTAAAAGTTCGTTTAATTAAATTTTAAATCAGTATCACTTTTGATAATGCAAATTTAATGTTTTATTTATTTTTGAATTGTAGTATTCATAAGTTGAACTAATTAACATTAAAGTATAGCCGCATAATGGGCTTTCAATTGAACTTAAAATATTACTAAAATTTTATTAGAGAAAGAAATATATATCATTCATTAATTTGTTTAAATGATTAATTTTCTAGGTCATAACATTTTTCTCTTTGCATTTACATTTTAATTAATATCCTTATTGTTATTTCTTTAAGACTTTGTTTCAACAATTTTATTTTCTAATTAGATTAAGAATACAGTTAATAAATTATTGTTCAATTTGTTATGATTTAGTAAATGAAATTAAACGTTGTTTGGTTGTTTGGATTTCTTTTTATACTAACTTTAAAATTATTTTTCAAAAATCTAATATTTAGTTATTATTTAGAAATGAATTCGCTTATTTGGATCAAATTAAAGCATTTTCTCAATAAGATCTTTAGCTTATTCAGAAACATCAATCTTATTCTTTGTAAAATTTATTAATCTCATTATATAGGATTGAATATTGTTAAATTTATGATCCATAGTCTTTTTAATTAAATCGAGACCTTACAAATAAGATTTAATCAAAGATGATACAAACTGAAAACATAACAGAAGATAATGCATAAGAATCAGAATTATATATATCTAGAGTCATAGTATAAAGAGATCTAAGTTATAAAAGAGATTAATCATTCGTATTACAATATCCTTGATCTGCAATTTTATAGATCGAATGATAATGAATCAGTCTATTGGCTAATTTTAGGATTCAATAATAATAAAAGAAACATCCATGTATCCTAATCCTTAAAGAATTTATCGAAGTATTCCTAAAGCATCTCATTCTGTTAATCGAGTATTTGGATTTTTCATTAGTTGTTGTAGATCTCCAGCTATTAAAATAAAAATATCAGATTGCAATCTCATTATTTTATTATTAAATAACTATATTGATTGTCTTAAAATAATCAATAAAATCTACTACTACACATTAGCTTTTGTCCATCACCTTTTAATACCTTTCAATTTTAATCACTTTAAGAACTATAATTTATTTATTTTTTCAGAATTTTAATAATTAATTTACATATCAAAAGATCCTTTTCCTAACAATTTAATAAATTGATATCTATTTAGTTCTTTATCAATCATGATACTCATTTGTTTTATATAATAATTAAATTATAATTCATTTTTCATATCCAGCCTTCTAAAAAAGGAATTCTATTGTTTAATCAGCCAGCTTCTATAAATCTTCTGTCTTATTTAATTTATCATCATGATATGGGTTATAAGTTTAACATAATTGAACTTATATATATAGAATTAACATATCCTTTAAATTCTATGTTTGTTTTTATTATTTTGAAAATGGTATTTAAGACAATTGAAAATACCCTATTAAAAATTAAAGAGCTTTTTAATAATTATTATTAAATAGTGGAGTAAAATCAGTATTAAGTTCTTTTTCCCAATTGTTAATTTGATACTTGTATTCATTTTCTTTTCTAAAGATAGATAATATGAAATACTTTAACATTTACAAAACTTAGTCCAAAACACCTTTTAATTTAAATATGGTTTTATCATTCTTTTCAAGTTGTAGTACAAAATCAGGTGATTTACATTTCTGTTTGACTTCTTTTGAAAAATTTATTAATTCATAATAGCTTTTCTTATACATCATAAATCTAGGATACATAGTCTTTTTCCAATTATAAAATTCTTTTCCACCAAATTTTTCTGCCACTTCAAAATAAAATAATGCCTTTTTAGATACAGATTCAACAAATTCTTTTGTAAAATCTTGAGTTTCAAATATATTATTTTCAATCATCCCCCAAAGTTCTGGATTTAATTAAGGTGTTTAAGTAATTAATAGATTATTGTAAGGTTCTTATTTCCCCATATTATTCAATAATTCTTGCTTAATTTCATAAATTCCTGGTCTTTATGTTGGATTATATTAAACCATTCTTTATATTAATTAAATAATGAATGGACTTAATGACTAAGCAATCTATTCATTTATCAAGAGCTAACCTTAAAATCTAATAGAATTAAATTACTTTTTTATATCTACACAAGATAATCATTAGAACTTTCATAATTAAAAGGATTATAACCAAAGATCATCGCAAAAAGTATACAACCAAGAGAAAATATATCTGCCTTTGATGTAAGATTTACAGGGGTGTAAAGTTCTGGAGCATTACAACTATGTGATGATTTAATCAAAAACTAAATTCTTATATAATTATAGTACCCTTTAATTAAAGTGTGCATATTCAAAGTTTGCAATTTTATAATGACATTAACTTATGTATATATTTTTCATACATAAATCTGCATGAACAATATTTTACTATTCTAAATTTTCTAATCCATCTAAAATCTCTTTAAATATATCTAAAGCAAGACCTTCTGAAAATTGTTAATTGTTTTATTTCCAAAAATCTTCTAGTGTTTCTAATTTATATAAATAATGAACTTTACTATCACAATGTTCTAAAATAGTTAATGAATATTATTGATCCACCTTTTAATCTATAAATTTGATAATATTAGGTGAAACAAATTTTTTTAGTATTTCTTTCTCATGTTCACACAATTAAGAATACTACGAGTCTGTAATTTTTATGGTGTAATTTTGTCCATCATTACGATTTTTTGCTTAATATACCTAATTCCTTTTAAAAAGTTTATACTTAAGGATATTGATTAGCTTAGATGGTTCCCAAAATTTAGTATTCACCAATAGATTAATTTAACTACATGATATCAATATATTTATTAAATTTAATAAATATAATATATTTATTAAATAAGAAGAATGAAACTTTAATTAGTATTTTGCCTGATTTTTAGAGATTAATTCATAAATATCATTAGTTATATTGATTTAAATTTCAAATCTATTTTGTTCAATCCACATAAATTTTTTTTAGTGTCTCTATAATGTTTTATTACTTAATTTTTTCGAACTATTTTTTTAAATCAATGTTTGAAAAATCTAATTCATGAAAATTCACACAAGTTTATACTTTCAAAATAGTTATGGCAATTTGTTTCTTTCTAATAATTTCTGGTTCTTTATTAGTTTCATCTCTTAAATAAGAATGAATATCAAGTAATCCTTAAAATAATAATGATGAGATATTATCAGTTGTGTGATTAGATAATAATTCTGGGGATAATAAAGATTTTTTATTTTATTATATTTTTTCTTTTCTAAGATTAAAAATTATTTTAATACATTTTAGAAATCTATAGATTAAATTCTTCTGAAAAAGAAAAATTTAAAAGATCTTAAAGCTTCAAATCCATATTGTCCTAATTTTGACAATTTTATTAAATTTTTAAGATTGATTAATCAGCTTCTATTATCATGCTCTTTAATAACATTAATCTCCCAATTAAAAGCTAATAATAATTAAAATTAATATCTACATTTATTTGATCCGATTAAATAAATTCTTTTAGATCATTATAAAGTTGTTCACAAAATTAAAGTTTATTCAAGCTTTACTTAAATTCATTAAATAATATAATAGAACTACTCACACGAGGCTGAATTGGTTTAAATTATAATCCATCTTTTTAAATTTGATCAAAAACCATTTTATCTTCCTTTAAGGGAGTAACATATCTTCTAGCTTTTATTTATTAATTTAATTTTATTGTATTATTTGAAATTTATTGATCATCTTTTTCATTTTCATTAGTAAATACTTATAAATTCTCACCATTATTGGCTTCAACATATGTGAAATCTTGATTTTTCAAAATTTCATCTTGTTTTTTTTTATAAATATCATCATAAAAATTTTTCTAATTAGGCTAATCCTGTTTTTATTATAAACAAAAAATTACTTTTTCATCAATAGTAGATCTCCAATCTTCTTCATCTTAATTAATTTGGTTTTAAACCTCATTTTTAATTTAATTGAATTACTAATTATCAATTATTATAAATGATTACTAAATTTTCATTTATTTTTTTTTTGAATAAATCAAATTAATAAAGCTCTGGAAATGTTAGTCTTTTTTTAGGATCTCGAACTAACATTCTTTAAATAATTGATTATACATTTTTGGATACTTTAACTCCATTTCTTTTAAAATTGATTTATTCTAATTTTATGATAAGTTACATTCATCTATCTATTTTAGATATAATTCAGTTGAATGAAAATTGAATGGGAGTTCACCAAAGAGTAATTAATAGAATATACAACCAATAGAAAATATATCAGATTACAATCCATAGCTCTCTTTATTTACTATTTCTGGTGCTATAGTCCCAGGAGAACCTAGTTGAAGTTTATCATGAATATCCTTAAAAATTATTATAATTTTACATTATCCTTTAGCCTTTTACAAAAACCTAAATCAGCTAATTTTACCTAACTTTTGTTAAGTAAAATATTAGCTAATTTCAAATCTCTATGAATAATTTTATTTTTATGTAATTCCATTAATCCATTCAGAATTTATCTAATTATGACTAAAGTTTTATTTTCATCTAGAATTCTATTATACTTTAACCAATATTAATACAAATCTCCTGCTGACTATATATTTTTTTAAGTTACAATCACAATATTCCATTACGATGTAACATCTATTTGTTGTCTGCAAATAATGCTCAAGCCTTAAAACATAAGGAGATTCAATTTAAGCAAGCGAATTAATTTCCTCTTTTAATAATTACCCTACAATTCCGCCTTTAAAAGAAGGAGACTAATATTCAATAACTTTGATTGCATGAATAGATTAATCAGATATATTTTTGCATTTATAAACCTAAGATCAATTTATTGTTATACACATCCATAATTCCCTCTTCCAAGTTCTTCCATAAATACATAATCACCTATTTATTTCCCAGGAAATAAAACTTTTTCTTTTTCCATATATTTTTGAATATATTTTTAATATTAAATAAAGAATATGTTTATATATTTAACAACAAAATGTTTTTTTTTCAAAGCTATAAAAGTTTATTATATTATATAATTTGATAATTATTTCTTTAACTAAGATTAATCATGTTATATATATTATACCACATACTTTTACTTTCTTATTGAATGATTTTATTCAAATCTTCAAATACATAATCATCCACTATTATGACAAGCAATCTAGTATACATACCTATTCCACTAAGACATAATGTTGATTCCTTTAAAATTAAAAATCATACCTCATAATTATAATTAACCACTTTAGTTTTGACAATTGTGTTTTATTTAGATTAAATAAATCTCCCATTACTTCTATACATTTCATATCTATCGTTTTCTCTATAAATTCTATTGATTAATTTAAGATTTTTTCAATAAATTAATAATCCAAGTTTTTTATAATTAATTCTATTTATTTTATCTAATCACCATTAAAAGATATTAAGTATAAACCTTACTATCATAAGTTTATATGAGATTAAAAAGGAATGTCATCAATAAATAAAACGCCTTTTTCATTTTTTTTTAATTAATTTATTTAAATTCTAACTAATTTAATTATACTAATCTTAAATATAAGAGATAATATCTCATTTGTTAATAAGATAATAAAAATTATAATAAACTTGTTATTCTTTTTTTTTTGGCATGATTGTTGAGCATTCTTAATTCAATTTAAAGCAAAGATTAATCTATAAATTTATGTTTAATAATAATTCTCCACTTGTGTTTTCAACATGCATATAAGGACGCCATTTTTTTGCTTTTCCTATTTATTTTATTAAATTAAATAGTGAAACATAAAATACAAAAACTTAAGAGTTTAAATTAGAAGAGAAAAATCATTAAAAATAAGAAGAAATTCATATATAGTATAAAGAGCATACAAATCCTAAAATAAATCATAATTCATATATATATCCAGGACAATCTAAAAACTATTACAAAACTTTAGGAAATAAATTATCTATATTTATTCAAGAAAATTTTGATGAAACTGAAATCAGAGAAGACCAAAATATATAATAATTCATATAAAGAGATAGCAAAAAATACAATAGAGAACATTTTAAATATTTAATAAAATCAAAAAAAGGAAGATAAATCATAAAATTATATTTTGGGAATTATCTGTGGTGTTCGAGTGTTTTGAAATAAGCGAGATCTGATATTGATTTTTATCTAAATCTGAATTAATAAATATTTAAGAAGAAAAAAAAAAATTTAGAAATAAAATGAGCTTCATAAATATATCTTATTGAATAGAATTTAAAATTAGAGCTATAATCATATAATCCAATCATCCTATTTTATCAATTTATGATAATAAAATTAGAGATTTAATACAGTAATACTACTTCTTCTATTAATAATTTTTTAAATTAGTTTTAAATCAATATTAATAATAATTTTATTTATAATAATTAATAAATAATAATTTCTTGAGAAATATATATAAATTCATATATCTCTTAACAAAATTCTTGAGTTTGTTTCTCTAAATCTAAAATGAATAGTATGAATACATAATTTAATATATTTGTTTTTATATCCAAAAATTTTTCAATAATTTATCACTATATCAATTTTAATAATACTCTTATATCATACAATAAAAATGAAAAATTTAATAAAAATCTTTATGATAAATAATTATATATCCGTTATTTTATTAAAGTTTTGCTAATAAAAAAATATACTTCAGTATCATTTATATCTGAAAATTTTAGTTTTCATTCAAAAAATTATTCTTGTAGTAAGAAGTTAATATTTATATTTCAAAATATATAATTGTGTTAACAAAACTTATAAGCTTATTTAAGTTCAAAATATTTTCTCTTAATTCATTTTTTGAATCTTATTTATATAATGCATAATTTGATAAAATTGTTGAAAAGATAAGAATTTTTGATATAAAATCAATTAAACAAAAATCTATACATCAATCAATTTTCAAATCTTTAACTGGAATTACACTTTCATCAAATTTTTATACACTTCTTTTCATAGACAAACTCCTTTCTTTGCTCATATCTCTACTATTGCTTTTTCTTGGTTTTTTATTTTTTGTATTTTAATCTTATATTTTTATGATTGATTCATCAACTTTTTAGGTATTATAATTTAAATCGGTTGATGTATATGCAATCACATGACTTGCACCAAGTGAAATTTAAAATAGTTTTTCATTTTTAAAAATGCTTGTTATCTTTAATGATGATAAATAAAAAAATATACATCTTTAGGTTTAAATTGGGAATTCTCATTTCTAGTACCTAATACAAAACTTTAACCATTTCCCCAAGAGAATATTTAACTTTATTGAGAGATAGCAAAATTAAAATGCATAGAAGAATAAATAGATTATATTTTTGGGATATCTTTGATCATTTATGGAATAGTGATGAATTCATAACCAATAACTTTATCAGACTTTTAGATTTCAAAGAGTTCCCCTTACTATTTATTTTTCTTGCTAATCTTTTTTTTATTTCCTTCATTTAGTTTTTATGATTAGATTTCTTCCTCTAATTATTTTTATGCTTATTCTTTTAATTGTTCATTAATTTCTTCTCCTAATCCAAGTTGTCCATCATCATGTCTACCAAATGAATATAAATTCCTTCAGTATCTAATGCAATTGTATGATGTTCTCCTCCAACCATATCAATAATATCAATATTATCAAAATATTCTATTAATACAGGTAATTATTAATTTTCTTAATTACCAATTCCCAATTAGCCATAATTATTCAATCCCCAACCAAATATTCCAACTTTATTTTCTTTCATTTAAACTTTTACAAATGCATGTGAAGCCCCTGTAAAAATGTTTAAAATTGGTTTTTTCATCTTAATTGGTTATGGATTTAAATTCTAAATAATAGATCTTCTAGTTTCACTTTTTCTACCTATTACTAATGTTTCTGCATCTCCCCATGTCAATAACTAATATATATATATAAATAATATACTTTTTAACTTTCCAATAATACCATTGTATGATTTTAACCACATAATATTTTTTTGATTCCCTCTGTAATATTATCCATTTTTTTTGGTTTTTATACAGGTTCTCCAATTGGACCATGAGTATTTGCATAAAATCCCCAGAAATATACTAAACCATGAGAATTTGCAGCAATTGAATGAGAACTACCACAAGCAATCATATCAACAGGAGGAAGATCTGTAATCAATGCTGGTACTCTAGCATCCTATCCTTCAATTTTAGGTCTACCTAGTACTCCCTTATCATCACATCCAAAGGAATATACCTAATTTATGTAATATCTATACAATACTTTTCCTTAATTTGTTAAAATTAAGGCATGCATACCTCCACATGCCACTTAAGTTATAGATAGATTATTTAATTCTTTTATTTGATATGGTCTCTTGACTTCATACATTTCTTCATCATCTTCATCTTTAGCCAAAAATTGATCACATTCTGCACTTCCCCAAGCATACAATTTTTATTCACTCAATTATTCACTTTACATCAATAATTAAAATTAATATTCATTTATTTTTCCTATCTGCTCTTGAAAATCTTCTAACCAAAAGAGGACCATGAAATTTTGGTTAATTGGGTACCGGATTTTGCAAGAAATGTACATAATCTGGATGAAGGTATGGCTATTTATGGAGATCTATTAATTAATCTAAATAATTACTCAAATAAGATAATGTATTATAAGTAGTTAAAGTTTCTATAGTATTAGAATATTCTTCGTCATTTATTACAGTTTCTGGAGGTGGCATAAAATTAATTTTTTATTGTTATTCATCTCCAAATACATCATTAAAAGATTCAAATGCTCCCCTTAAAATATATTTATGTTTATTTACTTTTTATTTACTTTTATATAAATATATGTTAATAAAGATTCTAATTTTACATTCAAGGGTAATGTAGTTCTTTATTCATAAGTCCAATCTGTTATTCTTTCTCCTATTGGAGATGGACTAATTCTTTCAGCAATTCTACCAAGAGATTCTATAAATTCTATGAGAGTCATTCTAACATTTCTATCTTAATTTAATTCATCCACTTATGACATCATAGAAAAGTTGTAGATTATGACTTATTATTTATCACTTAAATATTCATTTAATCCAATCTATTTACAAAATTCTTTAAATTCTTTAATGGAAACCCATTTTAATTTAAAATACCATCTTCTATTGCTGATATCTGTTATATAATCATATAATTTTTTAAAGAATCCCATTTTAAATTATATTAATGTGTCACATTCTTTATTCCATAATCTTTTCTATCTCCATTCTTAAGTGGAATCAAAATTATTGAAATAAGGCTTAAATTCTTTTAATAATCTATATACTGCATCAGCTGCATTTTTCACAGTATTAGTTCTTACATATTTATCAAGTGCCAATCTATAAAGACTCTCTATAAATTAATATCTTATTAAAGCTGAATCTGGATTATAAATATATTTATTGTCAACATTATTCTTAATTGATATTAGATTACTTTCCACATCCTAGATTTTCAAATCAATTCCATCAATTAATCCTAATTGTTAAATTAATTTTGTAAATTATGGGAATTATATGCAAAACATATCATATTAAGGAGGTTAATGTCCAAAACTAGAAAGGTACTTATATATATCTTTTAATAATTAATACTATTATCTAAAATATTCTTTCATCTTTGTTCTTTCATATTCATTTCTAACAAATCTTGTAATCTTACTACATGACCAATCAAAATCTAAACAATTATCCAATAAATCATCATTATCACCCTAAAATTATTTAAAAGATGAATCTTCTTTATTCCAAAATATAATATTGACTTTTTTTCTTATAGAATTATTTGCAAATTTTCTCAATATATATTTTTTTTCAGCAGAACGAGGAAATATTTTAATTAATGGTTTATAATCATTTTTATCATCTATTACATATTCTTATTTTGATAATAAATAATTAATTTAACTAATCTTCTTAAATTTAAGTTTAGTTCCATCTGCAAATTAATGATATTAAAATTTAGTATCCTTGCCTTATAATATTAAATCATCAGGAGGAGATTACATACTTAAAGAATTTTTATCTATAAAGTAATCTTCAGATATTGGATTACTAAAGAAGTACAAAATCCTTCTTTTTGGTGGACACATTTAATAAGTAGTATAATAAAATTTATCTAGATCATCCAAACATCTTTCATCTACAATTTCATCTTTTGTTTCAATATCATAAGCTTCTTAAATTGCAGCCATTGTTATTTTCTTATCCTCATTTATTACCTATTTTAACTAATAAATTATTTCCCCAGTTGTTAATTATGGTTCAACTGATTTACTTTTTCTTTATTATTTCATCTACTCTTTTAATTCTAAACTTGATGTCATTGGTATTGGTTTATAACTAATATTTTTCTAAAAATAATTACTCTAAAAAATCAAGATGGAGAAATATTGGAACATCACCATTATATTCATCTGGAGTGTAATTAAATTTAAATTCCATCCAACCTTAACAAATCCAACAACAATCATTACCAATTAAACCATCATTTAATTCTGGTATAAAATTCACACCATCAATTTCATATTTCTTTTATTATAATCTTAAAGGACTTCCTTAAAGTTATAATCCATCATTAGAAAATTAAATGAATCCATTAGGATCTACATATGCTGGACACTTATTTCCTTCAATATGTAATCCATATATCTGATTATTCTTTTTCAATGCTTCATTTAAAATTCTTAATTGTTATTCACTAAATTAATTATATGATAGATCAATATGTATAAGTGACACTTTTGGATTTGAAATGATTTCACTCCAATATATCATGCAATTATTCTACCCAAGGTGATTATAACTTAGATCAATTACTTTTAATGATTTATTATTGGCTAATCCTTTGGCAATGAATTATCCTGATAAAGATCCTAAATAATTCCAGTTTAACATAAAAACTTCAACTGTTTTATTATTACCTAAGAAATTATATAAAATTTATGAGATAGAATCTGTTAATCCATTCTCTGATAAATTTAATCTAGTAACTGTATTGTTTTTCATTAAAGCATTTAATAATATTTAAGCTCCTGCATCTCCTAAAGTATTATTTGCAACATTTAAATATTTGATGCTATCAAACAATATAAAATCTATACCTTTTATGGGTTATTATTAATTTTTCTAAAAGCAAAGCTCCTCCTCTTCCTAATTTATTATTTGAAATTTTTAATTCCTTTAAAGAAAGTGGAATACAATCTATTATTAAACTTAATTCTTTATCCTTTAAGTTGTTATCACTTAAATATAATTGTTTAATTCTTTAACTTTTTTATTATTTCAATAAAGTGGTCAATATTGGATAATATTTAGATCCAATCCCTAAATTAGTAAAATTCATTTCTTTTTTATCAACTAAACAATTTGATAAATCAATTTTTTTTGGGAACAAACTGTCATGAACACAAAAATAGTATATTGGATTCATTCCATCTTCTTTTATGAAATTTTAAGCAATGTCTCTCAACTTTTGTTAATTCTTTAAGAACCCAAAATATGATTCTTCATTATTTGTATCTCTGAATTATCACTCTAATATACTTAATTTATTTTTAACATGCTCCTTATGTTTGTCTAAATCAAAAACATCCACACTACTTTTTGATTTCTCAGAACTATCTTCACTTATCTCTTCACTCTAGTTTATCTAAAGATCATTCTTAGCCGGAAAAATTCGTGGAGTTTATCTAATAAGTTTTTATGATAGATAAATTGAATTCTTTTGTTTCTTTATGCTTTCATCAAAATAGTAAGATGTCTCCTCTTTAAAAACCTCGTTATTTTGTTTTGATCTTGATTCTGATCTGCTAGTTTTAGATGTAAAAAATGTTTTCAACATCTCTTTCTTTTACCTTGAATAATCTTTAAGTAATGGCAGTTTTCTTTATTGCTTTGAATTGGAAAGAATTATTGACATTTTATATTTTATAAATAATATGCCATAATTTCTTTAAATCAATTTTTACAATAAGTTCTTCCATTTAAAACTATATTGATTACTAAATATTCGATTGATTGCTATTAATATCAATTCAAAAATAGACAAATTTTATTTATACTATCAAAGAATAACAATAAAAATCATATTTTAATAATATTTTTGTATCAATGAGAATTCAAACAAAGATGAATTATTTATGTATAATTTACTCATGAATAATTTGAGATAATTATATGCTTTTATTACTGTCATGTAGCTTCATTTTTTATAAAAAATTCAAGCATCAATATATGGGAATTGGGAAGATTCAATATAATTAATCTGATTTTTTATTATTATTAAATATACTTAAAAGAATGAAGTTAAACTTAAATCAACACTAAAATTTTGTCCCATTAATTACACAAGAATCAAATATAGTAATTAATACTTAATACAGAATTTAATCCTTAAGAGTTAGATTTTATCATTAATCACAAGAAAAACATTATTCAGATTAATTTAGTAATAATAATAATTAAGTTTCAAGATAGGATAGTTTTTTTATTAAATTATTAAATCTTAATTTTTTCTTTTAAATAAAATATATTAGATGTGTAAGAAATCAACAAAAAAATAAGTATGCTAAATATTATTATATATAATATCCATTAAATTTGAAAATTCTATAATTGTTAATAGAATTGAAATTAAGGTTCTATAGTTTAGAAATTCAGTATTTTGTATTACTTATTATTTATAATAATTAATAATTTCACACATTTATTCCAACTTCATGAAAACAATCGCGAATTATCTTTTACTCTTCTTCACCAACTGATTTCATGGCATGTTTTATTTTTGAATTTTATTTTAACACCCATTTTAAAGCCTCTAATAATATAAATACTTAGAATATTACCCTTTAGTATATATGGAAAACTCTCTTTAAATGAAATCAATTAACTTTTTTCAGAATTCATGAATGCAAGTTTTTATTCAAGATCCTCCCTTATACTAGTCAATTTTTCAATGTCTTTAGTAAAGTTTTCAATGACTTAGATATGCATATCTAAATTTTCTGATTTTTCTTCCAATCTTTAAGATAATCTTTGGTTTTCTTATTAAATTTACTATCCATAATAAGATTTAATAAATACCTTAAGATGTTACTAATTTTTTTGGGCTTATTCAAATTTTTCATAATAGGTAATATTTTTAGCTTTTAGTTCTTCATTTTGTTTAATAAAATGTTCTAGATTATTCTTCAAAGATTTTCTAAATACAAAATATAAATACTTTTCTTGTTCTAAATCTTCTTTCATTTTTAATTTTTTTTATTTATAATCTTCTCTAAGTTTTATTATTTCATTAAACTTGTCTTATTATAATTTAGAAATTTCTTAGAGGAAGATACTTTATTGTGAGTGATCCATAGCTCTTCTTTTAAAGAAATCATTCATTTAATGAGCTTATTATTTCATATCCTTATATTATAAAACTAAATCATTGGATATCTAATAATAATAAAGATATTTATATACATCTTCTCCTGGTTCTCTGTATGATTAATTATCATCATTCATTCGTTTTAATAATTATTAACATTCAACTCTTTTTCCATTAAGTTCATTTCTTACTCTTTAAAGTTACTCTTATAAATTTTAAACATCTTATTTCAATTTTTAATTTTTTTCTTTTTTATTTTACAATTCTTAACTTAATGACATTACTTTAGCTTAACATGCTTCTAATTCAAGACTTTTAATTTTTTCTTATTTATTTGTCTCTCTAGTCCAATTTTCAATTTCATATTTTAACTAATCTCTTTCCTTTTATATTTCATATAATAAGCTTTCTTAATTTGCAATAGTTTTCCTCAATCTTTCTTCACCTTCTCTAGCTTAAACTAGATATTTTTTAGTTTAATTATTTTCTTCTATATATACTTTTTAAACATTTAATATAAGTTTTTCAAAATAACTAAATAGAAATGAAGGCACTTTTTCAGAAAAATGTTTGTATTTAGAATGGCCTTTAACATTTTCCATATAATATTTAAAAAAACGACTATAAGTTTGAAATTACTCTACTAATAGTGAAGGTTTAATGCTATCAACATTATCTAAAACAGGAACTTGAAAAGTATTAAAAAATTTCTATAAAATTTAATTAGCTACTGTAGTAGATTATTCTTTATTTATTTCTAATCTAGTTTATAAATCCTAAGACATCATATCATGTAATTCTGTTTTCATACTAGCAATTTTAGAATTATCAATTATTTCCTTAGATTTTTAATCTAACCTTTAAAATATTTCAGTTTCAATTTGTTTTTTTAATTAAATTAATTCCTCATCTTCAAATGGAGCCTTCATTTTAGACAAAGCCTCTTAATACTTTTTAAAGTATAGACTTTTAAGTTCTTCAAGTAGATTTCTTGCTTCTTATTGAATAACTCTATCTAAACTAGTTAAAATTTAAGGTATTCCTCCAGAATTAATGGCATCTATATATTCAAGAGAAAGTTTCAAAAACATCTCTGCAGTTAAAGAAGTACCATTAATTTATTTTGGTGGAATGTTCTTAAAAACTCTTCTTTCAAAATCATATACAGCTGATATGAATTCTGGTCTTAAGGCATTCCAATCCTCTTCTTCAACTCTTGCAAGTCTTTTTTCATCTTAAATGGGTCTGACCATACAAATACAATCTCTAAATTTAAAATACTCTCTAATCTTTCTTCTAATAAGATTTTTTCTTTCTCCATCAGGACCTGGATTAGATTGATCTTAAAGTGCAAATTCCAAATATTCACTTGGAGTACGTCCTCTTAAATCAAGAGAGAAATCTCTCAATACCCAAAGGAATGTTGGAAAAAACTAACTCAAACTTTTATCCTCAGATCCTACACTAATGTTCTCACTTAATTTAATAACAAGAGAGAGATTTTCTATTGATTATTCATCAATATGACCCAATTGATTAAATACAAACATTGAAGATAGCAATAAAGATATTGAGAATATTTTAGTGTCAACTCCCAAGTCTCTTTAAACTGAATTTAATCCTTCTGTATCCATTAATAAGATTGAAGTATTTTCATTTAATGGAATTGGTTAGCTCCATAACCAAATACCTTTAGTACATGGCATAGTTGTAGGTCCAACAGCAAATCCCTTTTATCTCTTTAATACTCTATTAGCTAAAAAGGACTTTCCAGTTCTTTATGGACCTGCAATTGTAAGAACAGCTACCTAAATATCCCATTAAATGCGAATACTTTTCTATCAGCAATTGATTGTAACATCTTAATTGCCTAAGGATGAATTTCAAAAATAGTTTCCATTCCTTCTTAAGTTTAAATTTCCTTTAACTCAATGAATGGGATTGGTTAACCTTACATTTTATATTTATATTATTATAAAATTATTCAATTCATTATAAAGTGAATTTATTACTTCTTTTGTAATACACTCTTAATTTAAGTGATAATTGTTTTACTCTATGATAGAAAGTGTATTTTTCAAATCTATCATATATTCTTTAAAGTCTTTAGTTTTTTCTTTTCATAGTTTTAGCCATTTATTTAACTTAAGACTCTAAAGAGTATTGAGGCATATATGAAATACTCATAAAGTTAACTTTGTCTAAATTAAAAGTATTTTAATAATTAAAAATATGTTTGACTTCATCAAGAATACTAAATGATCTATTTAAATGATCTGTAATAGGAGCAAAATTACTTTTAGATGTTTTATATTCAATTTTTCCAATTTTTAATTTTGATATTGAAGATCCTTAAATAAAATAAATATAAAAGAATACTATGTTGAGTTTTGATAAATTATTATTAAATAATTTACTTTGATTATTATAATGGAGTATGTTAATAATCAGAATGTTATTCTTCATCACTAATACCACTAAGATTTTAAATATTTTAAGCTATCATTTATGCTGAATTTTGATAAACAACTTCTGATAAACCAGTTCTTTATTATGGGATTTCATTTTAATTGTTTTCATTCATACCTAAAAGTTATATCTATTAATCTTCTTAAAATTAATTAAGAGTTTAAATTAATTTATTTAAATATCCAAAAGTATTATTTCTATTATCTTTTCTTTTCTTCTTAATTCTATAATTATGTTTTTCAGTAAAGTTTTCTTTTTTCAAAATTAATTCTAAATCTGGTTTATATTAGATTAATGGACAATCAATTTCCAAATGAAAAGATCTATTACAAAAATTACATTTATGATCAAATAACACTAAGTTATTTGTAAATATAATTTTGTCTTTAATATGATGAAAAATATCATGATCCTTTTGGTTGCTTCGTATAATTTCTAAAAATTTTTTTCTATTTATTTTATATAATTAAGTTGGACTATTACAAATGGCTGTCTCTTTGGGACAAAAACCTGTAAAAAAAGAATATATTCCAAGATATTAGTTTTTTTATAATGTTTTAAGTGTTGTTTTGGTTTGGATCTCTGTTTATTTTACTTCACCCTTATGTATAAAATATCTTAAATAAAAATGATGTTTGTTACAGACTATCCTCTTAAAGATCACCTTATTTATATACTACATCTCCAGCAAGTAATGAAATTAATTATAGATTTTTAGCAACTTGGATTTAAGTTGATTTAGAAAAATGATTTATAATTAATTTAATTTATTTAATTACTCTAGCTTAAATATCAGCATTTAAATCTTATTGTAAATTAAATGGAAGTGAATTCAATATATTGTTTACATCATCCATATTCTCTTTTTTCTCTTAATAAAGTTAAGAATTTAAATAATTTCTGATTCTTCCTTGTATTTATTCATCTACATTATTTTTTAACATAAATTGTGTAATTTAAATTAGATTCTTTCTATAAATAATCAATTAAAAAATAATTACTTATAAGTTAATTATGTATCATAAATATTCTTTAAAATAATCCCTATAGAACTCATTGTATAAGCAAATGCACAACTAGAAAGAAACATAACAATAGATGAAACAACCATTTCAATTTCATTTCTTGCAACTACATCACCATATCCAACTGTAGTCATAGTCATTGTTGCCCAATAGAAAGCAGCATTATATTTACTCCAAATAGATTTATCTTCTAAATGATTATCTATTAACCATGAATTTCCTAAATTTTCAGTTTATGATCCAACATAATGCCAAATACATGCTATAATATGAGCAAAATAATAAATTTAAATTATTAAAGATATTAAATCTATTGTAAAACTTTGATTTCCTCGACAATATATTTATTGGAAATACTCTGTTATATATCTTTAAATTTTTTTATATATCAAAAACACTTAAATTATATTTAGAAACTCTTGTAAGTAATAAAATTAATAAAATTAGTATTTTAATCCTATCCATATACCCAAATTAAAAAAATCAAAAATAGCATTAGATTTTAAATAATTTTTAATAAAATCCTTTCTTTAGTATACTATTACTGCTTCTATAATTATAGCTCTGTTAAATATTACTAAAAAGTCACAAATCAAATAAATTAATATTATTGACTATAAATATTACATTATATTATTATTATAATCTTGAAAAGAACATAAAAATGGACTGATCCAAAGCATTATAAGATGAAATAAAAGTCCCAAAATATCCCAAAACATAATGAAATGAGTTGATGGTAGAAATATCCATTTATTTTCTTTACTATCTTCAGCTATAAAATATATTATGTTATTTATTTACAGCTATTTTTAGCAAATTATTAAGCTGGTTTTTCATCTAATGCTTCATTTATTCTTAGCTTTTAATCCTATTTCATGAAATAAAGATTTGTAAATAGATTGTTTATGAATCGATGTATAAAGTATTGTTTCCTAAAATTTATTACAAATTATGATGATTTAGATCTTTCAGTCATTCTCAAAGATCTATTTGTTAAAAATATTGCATGCTTTAAATAATCAGACTAATTTTAAAAAAATCATAATTTTACTTTACGACTTTAACCAAAAACTTCTTGCATTTTGTCCTTAATCATATTTCTATTTATAACTTCATTCTCTTCATCAAATAATGATTATGATGAAGGAGACTCTGGTTTTGATGTGATTTACTATGTTACATTGCTAGGACCCATTCTAGTAGTGTTAGATGTATTAGCTTCCATAACTAATTTGAAAAATTAATTCTTGAGATGCAAAATTATTAAATTCTAATGAAACTTAGTTCTATGTTACTAAATAATTCATATAGAAATATATATATATATTTATAATATAGCTCTTTGGAGTTAAAATCATCAACAATTTTGTCCTTTATGAAATATATATATACAATTATTCAATTTACTTTAAACTATTTTTCTTATTTACTAGATTTTATTAATTTTTATAACACTTATATTGCTAATCCAATTAATATAGTTGTTAATATTATGGCATTATAATTGAAGTTGTTCTGCAACATATCATAAGTCTAAAATAAATAATTACTACTACTTTATCTGGTGATATTATTGTGAAAAATATATCAGAACCATACACTATAAGTAAGGCAGAAGATTCTAAATTTGTAGTTTCTAATGAAAACTTCTCGAAATCGAACTAATTTAATAACAAAAATAAATTACTAATTAATTGTAAGTCAGTATACTTTAGAAATAGATAGGAAGTTCATACTAATAAGATATTAAGTCATTAGACCATAAGGAATATTCTAAGTGTGATTTTTCCCTTTTTCTTGCAGAAACTAGATTTCTATCTAATTAATGTAATTGACTAGAAGTAGTTATAATTAATAAATTTTTCTTAGTTAAAGAGTTTTTAGTTTTGGATATTCCTAGATATCTTATACCCAAAGGATATCCATAAACTTATTATAAGAAAATAGCATTATAATCTGTTTAATAATAATTTTTTATTATTGGATCTTAAGAGAAATAATAATACTCCAACATTTTTATAAATGAACATTCAATTGTCATATGATAAATCTCTATTGTCCATATTTCAAATATCATTTAGGCTTAATTATAATATGTTACAAAAACCTAATGTTCATCAAAAACTAAATTGATTTGTTAATTAAGATCTGCTTCATTTTAGATACCTTAAAATAGAATTTTCCCAGTTTTAGCATTGACAATATATAATTTAAGTGAATCTTCATCTGTAGTGAGAATTGCAAAATTTGTATGATCAATTAATTTAAATATCACATTTCTATCATCCCAATTTGCAACTCTAGGATTATCTTGACCATATTAATAAGATGATCTTATAAGTATTATTTTATCTCTCATATTTATAGTCCATATTTTTACTAATTGTTTATCATATAATTTATATCCTATCAACACTCCATTATCATTTCTATAGAGTATAATTTCTTTATAATTCAAATGATCATTATTAGGATAAGTAAATACTTTATAATCTTCATCTATTAAAATGATTAGATTATAATATTAACTAGACTTACTTTCTATTTTATATGGGATTGTCCAAATAATCTTTTTAGATCTTCTTGAAGCTACTTATTATATTGATCCATAAGACAAATCTAGAATAAAAGTATATAGTTTCTTTCGTTGATCTGAATAATAAAATAGAATATGATTCTTAGATCCAACTTTTTAATCATAATTCTATGCAAGATTTGGACTAAAAGGCCATAAATATAATTATATACTCTATTTAATGGAGTGCCACTAATTTAAATGTTTAATCAAGATTATTTATATACAACTTTTATATTAGTTAATGTTCTTTTGTATCATAACATAATAATGTATTATAAGTTGATAAGAAACATACTTTTTATTTAAGACCAAAAGATTACTCCATTTCGTTCTTCTTAATTTTTTAATTATCAATATCATTGATAAATTGTATAAACATTTCTTATAAATCTTTAATCTCATTTAATACTCTTAATATTACATTTTGAAGTATTAAGAAAGGATTGTAAAGACCATTTTATTATAAGGATTTATAATATGAATTTTTATATGTTTATTTTTTGTTTTCATATTTCTGATAAAATATGTTATCTATGCTGATTAAGGATTATTCTGTTTACCAAAGTATTGATTAATTCTCTAATAATACAGTTTATAAATCTTAATACTAAATTAAAAATTATTTCTATGATAAATCAATCAAAAATGCTCTTAAGATATTTGATTTATTTGTTATTTCAATAATTTAAACACTTAATTTTTAGGTTTCTCTGTCTAAACTTTGAATTATAAGATGATTTTATTCTTATTTTACCAAAAAGTAGTATTTTTAAGTCTCTAAATTTTCTATAACTTATAAATTAAAGTGAAATTCATATTCAATTTATCCTTTCAAATCTATAATTTATTTATTATTTTTAGTTCTAATAACTAAAGTTTAAGAAAAACCTAAGAATTAGCAAGTTTTTCTTATAAGTTCAATATTAATTTACTTTGCCATTTTATCTTTAAGATGATAGGCAAAATAATTATCATAATAAATTAATGTTTTTCCAAATTCAATAACTTTACCACCCTTCCTACTATGAACACAATAATCTTCTGTAATTGAATTTCTAATCGAAAAAATACAAATTTAATTTTATTTCTATATTACTATAATTGGTATTTCAAAAATATATCCAGCATAAATAATTTAATTTTCTATCCTTTATTAATGATCAAATAATATTTACTTTTTTAAAAATCTTTCGTTGATTGTTGAAAAAATAGTTTGACCAGATATAATAATATATTCTCCATTTAATCCAATCAGACAATTATCTATCTTATCATTTATTTCCCATTATGCTAATATTGAAAAACCATTATTAAACAAATGAACAACTTTTTAATTTGATTCATATTTGACATAATTAAAAAAATCACACATTATGTATGTATTTCTCGATTAAACTTAGCCTATCAAATTTAGTAGATCTACTAACTACCTGTAACTCTAAAGATTTTTCCATTTTGGTTCTAAGTATTATGATAATAAATTATATCCTCATAAACATAAATGGAGGAAAGCTATCCAAATAATCTCATTTACCAGTTATCTAAGTCATTTGACTATTAAGATAAGGCTTACACAATTGAAAGTAAGTGAATAATTACACATAGTAACAAGAAAAACATTATGGATAATTAAATTTTTATAATCCTAATATGTATTATTCAAAACATATTCATTTGATTGATTATTCATTATCTATTTTATCACTTGATATTATTTAAAATGCTTATTCTATTTATTATTCTGTTGGTTCAAATCTTTTTTTTTTACATTATAATCTATTTTCTTTTTGATATTTTTCTAATTTAGATAATTATTCTGTTTTTTTATTTTTTAATTCTTTTTCTTCTTATTTTTATTTTTTTAATTAATTAAGAACTTATTTTAATCTTTAAGCTTCTTTTTTATCATGAATGATTTTTTGATCTTTCTTTTCCATTAATTTTTTTCTTTGATCTAATAATTTCAATTTTTGAGGATCAGGAGGAGGTACAATCTTTTTTGATTCTTATTTTGATGCACTTCTATGTCTTGATAAAGATTTATTTAATATTTCTTTTTAAACTTAAACAATTTTTTCAATTCTACTTTTTCTTAATTTACCTTCTTCAATCTAAATAATATAAATATAAATAATACTCTTGATATATCTGCTCTCCATGCAACTTTTGATAGACTTTATTCTCTAGGTTATGGTTAAAGTTATTTAGCACTATATAAATTTTGTAATAATTTCTATTTTTCTTAATATTCTTTCAATTTTTATTTTCTAGCTGTTTCAGGATTTATCATAGCAGCACTTGAAGGTCTTGGTTTTCTATTTGATTAATGAGTAGTTAAATGTGATTATCTGTGTTCATAATGATGATATTCACATTTTTATTTAGTTTATTAGGAAGAATTCAAAATTTTTTATTTTCTAACTTTTTTTGATTCTGAACTAGCAATTGAAGATTATTCTAAACAATATAAATAAATAATTATACTTATAGATTTATTAGATTTATTAGTTGATGGGTTTTCTTAATAATTTCTTCTTACTTTAGGAGTGGGTGTTGGAGATTTCTTTAGTCTTGTTGAACTTTTTCTACTGCATCCACAACAAGAACATGAACAACAACTCATTAATTCATATTTTTGATTAGACATTCTTGATTTTTGATCTCTATGAGTTGAATTAGACTTTATTGATCTTGAAGACTTATGTGTTTGAGATTTTGGTTGAGTTGTAAAAATAGTTCTTGATGGTCTTTGTTCTTCATAATATTGGATCGGTTAAACCGATTACAACATTTTTCTCTAATTCAAAATTTCACTAACTGATACTCATTTTGATACTACATGGTATAATGTCATCAAGCATTGGTACAAGTGCAATGTCAGGATTAATGTGTTTAGCTAACATTTTATTGGAAAGCTTATGTAAGTTTTGTTATTCTAGATTAATCTTTGTTTTAGGACTCAATCGACCAACTAACTGAACTGTCTAATTGTTATACATATTAAATTTAATTAAATAAATAAGTTATTAAATTAAGAATCTATGAGTTAAAGATTTAGAACAAAAAGAATTTTATTTATTAAATACAACAATAATTTCATTTTAGTTCTTAAAAGTCATCATCCAAAGTTGATTCTAGATCTGATTATTATTATTATTATTAAATTTAATTAATATCCATTGTTCTCATTTTTCTATGAATATAACTCTTTAATTTATCATATAATGTTATTGCCAATAAATACATTGAATGTAAAGATGGTTCTTATTTACTTAATTATTGATAAGGCATAGAATATAATTTATTCTAATAGAACCAATATACTAGCAATATAATTATTATTACATCTACTAGATTTATACTTGGCCTAACTATCAGTTTATCCATGTTTTTTGTTAACCCAAGATAATTAATGTGGTATTTTACTCAAAATTTCAGTTAATTCAATCATATCTGCATTCTATACCTTTTCTTACCAAATCTTTCTTTTTTCTGCAGATGTCCAACAACTTTTCCAATAATTTAATTCATATTCTGAATAATCCTTTTCCAAAGCTAAAAGAATTTGCCTAACAATATTTATATCACAATTCTAAAATAATTCAATAGCCATAGAGTCTTGACTAATTTATTCTATTCCATAAGTATTATCAAGTGCTATTGGTTCTAATTTGCAATCCTCTAAATTAAAATAACCTTCATTCACTAAATTTTTCATTTAATCGCATTTATTTTATTATTATCCAATTAATTCTATCATTTATGCTCCTTATATTACTTCCCAATCTTCTTCATTGTTTTCTTAATAGATACATCTTTTCTCTTCTTCAAATACCTAAAAGTCATTGATTTAAGTACATAAAGATTGTTAGAGATCTTCTCTATTGCTTAATTATGAAACAATTATTTATTACTAACTGTTGATGCTTTTGTATATAGTTTTATTTCTTCTTCTAATCCTGCTATTAATTAAAGAGTCTTAACTTATTCTTTTTATTTCTTTTTAGCTACTTTTCCAACTGATTATTGTAATCTTTTTAATTCTGTTTCTTTTTTAGCCAATTCTTTTCTCCAATCATTATTTGATAATATTTCTTAAATCTTTATTCTTTAATCAATTTCCTAAATCAAAAATTCTGATTCATAAAAAATTGTATCTATAATAAATAAGATGAGTTTTTATTTATCCAAAGCAAACCAATTTTTAAATTACTCTTATTATAAATGTTCTTTCAATTATTAGTATTCTAATTCAATTTCATCTTTTATATATGCTCTAATCCTATATATACGTGTAATTAATGTAAATATTGTTGGCCATATGTTCATCAATATTGATCGACGAATAAAATAACTAAAATTGTAATTACATTATACTTTTTTATTTATCCTATAACATTCAAAAAAGCTGAATTAGTTTATGTTGATGCTTATACTAAATATGTTAAACAAAATTTATCTATCAATCCTATTACCAATTAATATGCTAAAGAAGAATTTTCATTTGATTCCTAATAATCTCAAAAACTATTTACAAAACTTTAATGCAATTGTTCTACTGTATAACGAGTTCGTAAATTCAGTTGAGAAGCAAATGTACGACAAAATTCATAAATTTAAAGAGTATTCACCAGAGACATACTTTAATTATTAATTATTACATATTTAGCAATTAAATTGCGGGCAATAAAAAATGAATTTTTCATACATTATTATATTATCTTATAAATTTCTATTTAATATATTCAATTCAATCTCTATACTCCTTTTGAATTCAAATTAAACTAAAGTATTAATTAAATTTAACAATTTAAGTTAAATATATTTATTAATACAAAAATCATTCATAAGTACCTTTAATTAAATCAGATACTGTGTATTATAGAAAATTCTATATATCTTTACTAAGAAATTTATTGAACTAAAATTATATAAGAAATTTTGAATTGAATTAATTATTTATTATAAAATATTAATCCAATATTTATAAATATCTATTATTTAATCATTTATCCTAAAGTAGGTAAGATCATTCTATAGTTAAGGTTTATTAATCATACCTACAACAGGAGTTTTATATTGATAAAAGTCATTTCGTATAAAAATGGACATAGAAATTTATGATGATAATATACAGCAGAATAAAACAGATATAGATCAATAAGAACTTCCTATAATATTGTTCTCAAGGTGTCAATATTTTTTTTTATTTTACTCTTATAGAATCACTTGATAACGTATTTAAATTGGTAAGAAGAAGCAAAATAATAAGCTGGCTTAAATATAAAAATAATTCTGATCAGAAATTGGAATTAAATGAGCAAAATAGTAGTTGGAAATGATAGTTCAAAGTTTAAAACTGAAAATGTTATTATTTAACGAAATATTCATCAAAGAATCAGAATAAATGAACGTATAGAAAAAATAATTAGTTATCAAATTTGATGCTTTAGAAATCTCTTAAATAAATTTATTTATAATAAACGTATAGAATATTAAATAATGTGCATTTATTAATCAATATATCTATAATAAGAAAAATAATATTATTAGATTATTAAATTTAATAATATGAAAATTTTTATGAAACTCAAACATAAGAATTATTATTATCCTATATTGATTATAAGAGAAAATGTTTATTATTTATGTATAAATAAATATTTTAACTAATTTTTAAAGTATTATTTTATTAAATTTCTATAAAAATGGGAGGAAGAAGAAAATCGAATAGGATGCCAAAAAAAGAAAAAGCTTAAGCAATTAAAACTATATTTGATTGTGCACTATGTGGCTATAAGAATTGTGTAATTGTTAAAATGTAAAATTAACAAAAAGAAATAGAAAAAAAGTCATTAAGATTGCAGAATTAAATTGTGATAAATGTCAAGTTGCTTTTACTACTAAAATCAAAGGACTAGATGAAGCTATTGATGTATTTCACAAATGGTTGGCTGAATTGAAGTAAAAAAAACTTACAAAAGATTAACCAGAAACTAGATTTGATGATAATTCAAGTGCAGATGAAGGATCTGGAAGAAATGTAGAAGGTAAAAAATTGATTCTAAACTTTTAAATTAGAAATTCTTAAGGATAAAGGAGATGCTGATAATAAATCATAATTTAGTGCTGATTCATTAGATGAAAAAATTCCATAATAAAAGAACAATAAAGAAAAATTAAAGAAGCAACATTCAGAAGAAGGAAACAATAATTAGGATGATGATGATGAAGATGATGATGATGATATTTCTGATAATTCAAAATTAGATTCAGAACAAATCTCAGATATTGATAGTTTATTAAGTGATGCTGATGATGCTGAGGAAATTATAAAGAAATTTAGAAAACGCTGATTATTATAATTATGTTTAAAATATCTATCATTTTTAATCTGTTTTTCTATTTTATACTATATTTTTAGTAGAAGATATTACTAGAAAATTCTATATCATAGATTGTGAAATATAATGAATAAATTATTTCATTATTTGATTAATTATTTTAGGAATTACTTTACCTATATCAAAATAATATTTTAAATCTTATCTTTTATACAAATAAATAACTTTAATTAGAAATCAATAATAGTCTTTTTGATATAAAAAATCAAATTTTATTTGCATTCCATTAAAATAAAAGATATTTTACTAGCATCTATAAATACCTTAATGAAATTAAGCTATTGATAAATACTATAATTTACTGGATGATTTTGTTTTATGGATTGTTGCATTATATAAATAATTAATATATATCTTTTGCCAGAATTCAATTTTCTCTTAATTAATTAATGATTTATGTTAGTAGAATACTAAAGAAATTAGCCATTAAAATTTTCATAATACCTAACATTTAAGTACTATTAGCACTATTTGTTCTTTAGTAACTCATTCTAAACAACTTTATGACTTATTTATTATATATTATAAACATATCTTCAATAACGAAGATTTTATTCTTTATTGGCAAATTGGTGAAGTATATGTATAAAATTTTATGAATTTTTTGCTATGTCTATTTGCAAAATTTTTTATTATTATAATAACATTTACTCAGCTTAAGATATCATTTAAAAGATAAAGCATTTCAATATTATATATAGTAGATAAAACCCTTATAGAAAAGAACTTGTTCTTTTTAGATATAATATTGATTAAACTTTTGAATATGGATTAATATTTTATATCTATATTTTGAATTAATCTTATATAAATATTTTTATATTTCTAATGGTTTAGACAATGAAGAAGATATTATTGAGAATTTTGAATGTAAAGATAATTATATCAATAAGAGTATTAATTTATTTTTTTGACTTTAAATTTTAAATGTAGGCAATCAATAATTTAAAAAATGATGATGAATTTTAGATTATTGTAAATTTTTATTGCTTATATAAACAAAACATTTTTTTTATATTTGTTTTCTTTAAAGCTATTTATTTAAATTTTGACAGTTTAGAATATTTTTATATAAAGATTAACCATATATTTAAATGATTCTTAATTAAAAATCTTTATTAAGAATCATTAAGTATTCAAATGATAAAACGGAAGATGAATGATTATGAATACTATGATATTGTCAATTGATAGAAGTAGGATCAAATAGAAAAAAATGAAAATTGTGAACAGTGAATTTGCCTAAATTTTTTGAGTTGAATTAATACATATTAATTAATGAATAAAATATAATTCAACTCTTTACAGGTAAAAACAACTAAATTAGAATTCATAATTCCTAAACCACCATTGAATTATATTGTAAAATAAGTTCATCGTTTAAAATGTGTGATATAGAGTAAAAAAGATGTAGAACTCATAATGGATTAAATAAATTTTATTATAGAATTACTAATTGCGGGATAAGTATATATTTAATTTTAGAATTTTAGTTTGGGACTCCCTCATTAGCTTATTTAAATGAATTGTGTAACACATTAAAATCAACTATGCATTCATTTGAATAAGATTAATTGGGTTTTGTTTTAGCTAATATGGAGACATTAAAAAAGCAGACAAGTTTAGATTATCTAAAAGGATTTAAAAAGGGCAGCTCTAGAAATTTAAAGATTGCTAATTAACTTTAGAAGTATATATAACTAAATTTAATCATGTTTTTAGAATATAGAAAAGATTACTTTCAGTAATAAGAAATGTGTATGCTCAGTTTGTGTTATTTTGGTTAGATGAACATTAACCAGAATAAAGTATAGCTTTACGTAGTAAGCGTATATTTGTTGAAACTAAAACGTAAAATAAAATAATCATTAATTAATTAAAATAGACTTATACAAAGTAAATTAAAAGAATTAGATTTAGAAAAGCATAAGAAAATAGTATGTCGAATATGTGAGTAATTAATAGAAGTAGAAATTATGGCAGCTCATTGTATAACATGTGAAAAGAAGGCAGAATAAAGCAAGAAATTATTATAACTAAATTTATAATTAGCAGATGCATCTTAATCAGCATATAAATTAAAGCATGATGTTTAGATAAAGTTGGGTAAATTGAGTTTATAAGAATAAAAGAAAAATAGATAGAAGTTGAAAAAATAAGAAGAAGAAAAAAAACCATTAAGATCTCTTAGAAGGACTCACACTATCCATTTATAAGACAATAAACTCTAGTAAGAAGAAGAAGAAAAGAATAAAGCCAAAAAATAATTGGCTTTTATAAATTCTGTTATGACTATTATAGTAAATTATACTGAAAAGGTTTTAAATAGTAATATTAATAATGAAGATAATAAATGTATTCATAAAATCTATATATTTAGTAAATCGAATAACATTTGATGAGTTAACTGAAGCAAAATGTAATTTAGAAAATGATCAAAATAATGAAGAAGTACTTGATATAATAGATAAAGCACGTTCATGTATGTATGATAGAATGGAGTATTTTAAAATTATATAAAATTTGGAATCATAATAAATTTAAGAAAGTTAAAAGATCAAACAAAAAAGTGAAATAGATTTAAAATAAAAATATAAGAATTCAAATTCAAGTTCATTTAGAGTTTCAAAATTTAATAATATAACTACAACTATCTAATAAAAACTTAAAAGAAATGATACTATCTATGAAGAAGATGATGAATTTGTTGGTTAATCACCAAAAAATGCCAACAATTAAAATAAAAAATAGAACCTTACTATAATGTCTTTAATTAAGTAAATAACAATAATGATTATTAGTAAAGATAAATTTAATACAAGTAATGTTGGAAGTTTTAATGATATTAATAGAAGAGATAGTTTAACAACTATGTCAATGTCCAGATCCCAAGTGCTTGGAAGTAATTAAATCAAAAGAACATTTTAATCTAAAACTAATACCGAAGATTAACCTTAATCACTATCAAATCCAGGATCTAAAATATTAGATAAAATTGTTAATCTATCAAATTCTTCTGATACTTTAATAAGTCCAAAATCTAATAAACCATCTCTATTTTTTAAGGCTTAATCTCCTAGAATTGTTGATTCTGTAATTGAATCTTCTAATTAATCTCCAACTGCAATAATAGGATAATTTGATTTTTAGGATGAAAGTCCTCGAAATTAGAATATCTGTTCTTTTGCAGATTTTGCTTAATGTGATTCTGATTAAGAAATTTCAATGAAAAAATAGTTGATTCCATCAATAGGAGTAGGTAGACAAGTAGATTCAATTGAAGAAATATAAAAAGACAGAGAATCAAATGTTTTAAATTCATTAGAAAATATTAATTAATGTTAATCTGATTAAGAGATAAATTAAATTCAGATGTCAAATCCCAATTCAAATCAGGAAATGAAAAGGTCTTCTTAAAACAGTATGAAGAATAGTGGCAAAAATAATATAATGATAAATTAACCAATTCATATGAATGAACAAGATTTACAATAATAATTACATAATTAACTAGGAGCAAGAATTGAAATAGAATAAATTATTGAAGAATCTTCAAGTTAAAATTCACCTCAAAAATTGGTTTAATAAGATTTGAATTAAAATCGTTTATCTTCCAATGAAAAATTAATTATTCTCTAGAAGGATGAAATCAATTAAGAGGCTGATATAAATCAATCTTTGAATTAACCAAAAAAAGGTTAGTTTAATCCATAAAATTCCAGAAATAATAATAAGAAATAAAGTATGGTATATGCTCCAGAAAAATCTAAATAATCATTTGATTTTGAAGTCATAACTGTAGATAGAGGTTATAATTCAGATTCTGAACTTGTTAGTATAAATGCAGAGAAAGCTAATTAATCTTAAGAAATTGGATTGAAAGATTTTGAATTCATCAAACCATTAGGATAAGGGGCATTTGGATGGGTATTTCTAGTTAAAAAGAAAACATCTGGAGATTTATATGCAATGAAAATCATTGATTGTTCATAAAAAGTATATTATATTTAAATTAATAAAAGTAATTAGAAACTTAGCTAGATACTTTAAAAGCAGAAAGAAATATCTTTGAAATTTTATCAGGAGATTTTGTAGTTAAAGCATACTATTCATTTAGTCATGAATAAAATTTATGCTTTGTCTAAGAATATATGGTTGGAGGAGATTTCTCAAATATTCTAAAGATGTATACGGTATAAATTTCTATAACATTAAGGCTTTAGATGAGGAATACGTTAGACATTATATAGCTGAAGTAGTTTTGGCTTTAGAATATTTAAGATCCAAAAAGATTGTTCATAGAGATTTAAAACCAGATAATATTCTATTAGATAAATAAGGTCATGCTAAATTGGCTGATTTTGGATTATCAGAAGTTGGTTTCAATAATAGATTAAAACTGAAATTGAGACAATAAGACATTGAATCGTAATGATTATTCTTTTTATATTAAGAAACACCATTCCAGAATTTGCTGATCGTAATGATCAATAATATGATACTATTTTTGATCTAAAATTACCTTAAGCTTAATAGACTATTAGAGCAAGTATTTAAAATTATAGCAGTAAAAATAAAAGAATTGTTGGAACTCCAGATTACATTGCTCCAGAAGTCTTAAAAGGAGAATCATTAACTAATAGTAGTTTAGATTATTGGAGTTTAGGGGTCATCATGTATGAAATGCTTTGTGGTATTCCACCATTTAATGATGATTCTGTTGAGAAGATATTTGATAATATTTTAAACTACAGAATTTAATGGCCAAATGTGAGTGATTTTGAAGAGGAAAGTATATCTCATAATGCTTATGATTTAATGTGTCGATTAATGGAACCAGATTATACAAAAAGAATTGGACATTAAGATATTAATGAAATAAAAAATCATCCTTTTTTTTAAGGTATTAATTGGAATACAATACTTTCTATGCCTGGTTTAATTGTACCTAAGATGGTTTTAAAAGAAACTGAAGTTGATGGTAAAAATTGTGAAAAAGTCTAATAATTCTTAAATAATTTAGAAAAGAAAGAAGTTAAAAATTAAACTTTAGCATAAAAGTTAAAAAGTTAGCTATCCAATTTAGAAAGATTAGATTTATTAGTTAAATTAAGTTTAGAAGAAGCAAATGATAAACTGTAATTATTTAAATTGATTATAGTTCTAAAATAAGGACAGAAGAAAATAAATTAAAAAGAACCTTAAACAAAATTGATCATTATGAACAAGAACATTAAGTTTAAATGTTACTATTGTATGAAGATGTTTTTTGAATTTAACTCTTTTTGTATAATTAATAATATCAATAGATTTTTATAATTATTAAATACATATTTTTTTATATATTCAACCCTTCTTTTAAGTAAAGAATTATTATTTAATTATCTATTCTATTTAAAGATATATATTTACAAATGAATTTAGAGGATTAAAATTATTTGGTTTAGAATTTTATAAACGAGTTGATTCTCTTATTCTCATTTAACTTACATTCTAAAATTGTGAATCATTTTGATTGAAGTCAATAGTAGCAGTAGCTAAATTTCTAAAACTACTTGAACCCTAAAGTTTTTCGGTTCTCTAATAATCAGGTTTTATTGAAATTCGGTTCCCTTTCTCATATTCTGCAATCTAAATATGATAATATATAATAAATGTACTTTTAATATTAATTCATTATTTTTATTTTAATATTCTTCTTTCAAAGTTGTTTATCTCAATAATTCTTGTTTTACTATACTAAGTTAGTTCTATAAATCTATCAAAAATTGTTAATTACTAAATTTACAAAAATATATACTCATTTTATTTTGTTATTAAATTTTTATTATTCTCTTGGTTTTAGATTTATTCTTGCTAATTTGCTATATAATTAGACAATTATTAAATTTCATTATCTTTTTTTTATATAATATCTTGTATTTCCATAATTTTTTTATTAAATTGTTCATGTAATTCAAGATTCTCAATTTTCTTTTCCTCATTAAATTATTTCAAAGCATTTTCTAATTTATTGCAATGTTACATTAATTAAGTCATTTTTTCTTGTTATTAAGCATAATCTTAGATTTATGTTTAATTTTCTTTTAAATTTGAGTAGTGTTATTCAAGTTTTACTGTATAAGATTATATTTTCTCATTTTATTTTTTTATTTCATCATTCTTTTATTTTATCAAATCTGATAATCTATTAATTTCTTTTTGTATTTCATCATTTTACATTTAAATCTATTTACAATTATTTTTGCATATTAAATATTCATCATCTTTTTATTTTTATTTTAATTAAAATTCTTATTATAATTATTAAATCTATTAATTATTTTTAGTTTCTTAACTTTTTATTTTAAACTCGTAATCTTGTTTACTCAATTCAAATTCTCCCCATTATCTTTTAATTTGATTTTCAGATTCATTTAATTTTCTCTTAAGTTCACTAATCACTTCTTATGAATCATTTTTAAATTTATCTCTTTATTCATATTAACTAATCATTTATTTGTACTATATTATTTCTTCTTAAACCTAATTATACTCTTTAATCTTTAATTACATATCATCAACTGATGATTATAATTCATATAATTATTATCTCATTTTTGTATTCTCATACTTCATTTTTTCATTTGCAGAAATTAATTCCTCAACATTTTTCTTTTATAAACTTAATTATTTTTCCAAATATTAAATATCATCTGTTTTTAATTACAATTATAATTCTAACTATGATATTTTAAATATATCTTCATCTTTACTTACTTCAATGGTTTCTTTAACAACTTTAATTTAAGATTACTTATTTGATAATTCTAAATTATTCTATTCTAAAATTCTAATTTTTTATTCTAATTATTAAATTGTCAAAAATTCTTAACTTTATGATTTTCTCAATGATTCATTCTATTAATTCAATTAGAACTGTAAATTTTTATTTTCCTATTTTAATGATGTTAATTATTTTTAAAGTTCTTAAATATATTCTAAATCTTAATTAATTATATCTGATTTTTTTATTTGTTCAGTATATTAAATTTTTAATTTGAAATTTTCATCTTATAATTATTGAACCATCTACTCAAATTATTGGATTCTTAACAAATCTTATTTTGAAGAACCTTCTACATATTCTGTTATTGGGGATTATTTCCTATTACAAACTTCATCATAATCAGTCCTTAAAGTAATTAATTATTTTTCTAATTCTTTAATTCGATTTTTATCTATTTCAGATTAAATCTCAATATAATTTTACTTTTGAGTATTTAATATCATATACTCTGATTGTAATTATTGTAATTCTTATCTCAATTATTTAATTAATATTTAATCACTTTGTGATGGCAATTCAATAATTTCCTTAACCACTTCCTTTAATACTTATTATTTCAAAGTATTCAACTCAAAGTATTGTTCTTTTAGAATTTTTAATTATTCTTCTAGCTATTTTATTTTATTTTTATCATCCTATAATCCTTAGTTCAATTAATCTTTCATAATTTAAATATTATATTAATTTTGAAGACCAATATACTATTCTTTCATTATAAGGTACTCCTATTAAAGATTTTATAAAGATTATTCTAATAATATAATTCTCTCTTAATCCTATTAATTTTCTACCTATATATATTCTTTGATAACTTCATTTTTCTTCTGATTTAATAAAGTAATATCTTTTTAAGAATTCTCCAATTGTAATTCTAATTATTGAATTCTCTTTTTATCTTACTTTGATTATTAAGAAAATAATGTTTCTCTTTCTGAAAACTTCAATTTTTCAATTTCAATTTGTGTCTCTAAATCAAAACATTTTGTAGATTTAATATTTAATTGAGCTTCTAATTCTCTTATCTTTATTTTTAAATCATCTATTTAAAATTATAACTATTATAATTGATTTTCAGACTCATTATTATTTTTGAACTATAATTCTTCAATTTTTTTCTAATATTATGTGATAGTTTCTTTATAATTTAATTCTTTTTAGTATAATGAATGCATTATATTTTATTATTCTTCTACCAAAGCTTCTAAATTTTTAATTGTAATTTAATCATATTCATTTTAAGTTTTATAAATGAGATATTAACTGATTTGATTGCGAAGTTCTTGATATTTATACATCAAGTCTTCATTTTATGTCTGTTATTCACAAAATTTATCTTACCAAAATTTAATCTAAATATCATCCTCTTATCTTTATTCAATCAATTATTGAATATCCCTTTTTAATTTATCAATTTATGCTTCTTAATTATTAACTTCTAATTATGTTTAAAATGTAAATCTACTCTCATCCTAAGATTAACTTTTTTAATAAATCTCCTTTTGTAACAAAATACATTTATCATTTACACTTTTAAGTTCAATTTAATAAATATTTTCTTAATCTTTTAATTATTTAGTGTGTTACTCTTGCTGAAAAAATAATTCACTTTTTAACCTTTCAATCTCTTCTAAATAAGAGTTAATTTATTATTAGACTTCTTTTTAAGATAATTTAGTTTAATTTTAATAAAGATTTGATTATTTAGTTCTTAAATTTTCAATTTCTAATTAAAATTATTCTATAAGTTATTTCAATTTGGAAATTTCATTTTTTTACTCTTGATTTTCTATTTATGAATAATTATTTGTATAATTCTGAAATTAATCAAGTTTCTATTTCAAATTTTATTATTCTTTTATTAATTATGATTCACTCTATGATTTCTATTATAATTCTGCTTTTAAATTAGTAATCTATTTGTTTTATTAGTAAATCTAATCTTTAAATTAAGATACAACATCTAAATTAGCCTATGATTCATCATATCTACTTTTATAAACTAATTATTAATTTTCTTTTTCTAGAATTATTAATTTATTCTCTAATTCATTCTTCATTAATTCTAAATTCTCATACCTTTATTACCATCCTTATATCTATGCAGATAACAATTAGATTTAACTTTTCATTTAATCAATATCATATTTAGATTACTGTTTTTATTCATTCAAGGCCTTTTCTAATTTTTCTTAACTTTGACTATAATCATTTATTAAAATTTAAATATCTTCTTCCATTTCTTTTATTTTCTTCTAATATTATGAAAAAGTTGTATCTTATATTTCAATTGTTTAAGTTAAACGGTTTTCTTTAAATAATTTCAATTCTGTCTCTAAATTCTGTTTATATTTATTTAACTCATTAATTTATTATTACAAATTTACATTATCTAAAATATCACTAGTATAAATACCTTATTGAATTTTTTATACATATTTATCAGTTGATTATTGAGATCCAAATTGGTTTCTAATCCTTGAGAGTTCCTATTAAGCAGCTGATAACTCAACATTAATAAGCAATTATTTTTGCTTTAATTCGTTATTTTCTATTTGGAATGATTTAAGTAGCAAATTCTCTTTATTCAATTGTTCACATAAATCTCTATAATAAAATATCTCTTATTTTTGTTCTTCTCTTTTTCTTTATTCTGTAGGTCTTTCATCATATTATAAGGATAATCGACTACTACCTTGTAATATGTTATTTCCATTCATACTAATTTTAGTATAAATATTTACTTGATCATGTATTTGTCTTTTATATGTTGAATGGGATATTACTATTGCATAAATAAATATTATTTATGTTATAATATCAATAAACTATAATTCATGTTAATTCAAACCCTACACATTAACTTATGGCATTTACAAATATATCCTTGAATATTACTTTATTTATATAGTCTAGTAATTTAGAATACTCAAAAAAGTAGAATTATAAATATGTTCTTGAATTCAATTTTATTAAATCCTAAAAGAAGTATATAAATGTTTTTAGTATCTGAATTATTGTTAAATCTATAAGCTTTTATAATTTTGAAGAATATTCATACAATAAAAAATTAAGTACCAATATCTATAATAGTTAAATAAAGATTTTAAACAATAATCAACTATTAAAAATTACAAAGCCTTGTATGTTTTGAAAGTGTGTAATAAAATTTATTTAATTATATTTTTATTTGAAAGAATCGAATATTATTTCTAATTTATAAAGAAATAATATTAGAATATTAAATACTTTGAGATATTAAAATTATATAATATAATCTTGGAATATTTAGAATTTAATTTTATTTGTGTATCTCTTTCTATTTTTCTAAATTAAATTTAGATGTAATATTTTTAATTAATTCAATTAAAATTAACTAATTCTATTTCTATAATAATTATAAATTCACCAAAATTTGATCAAATATAATAATCGTTTTAATCATTCCTTTATTAAAAAAAGATGAATTTATTAGTTACTTATTAAATAATAAATTTATATAATTAAAATATCTTAATCATTACTCATTTTTTTATTATTTTACATAATCATTAAGTAAAAATAATAATTCTTTCGTCTTTTAACGAAGTTCTAGAGGATCTTCTATAGTTTCTAATTCTCTTAAAATTAATTAATATTATTTAGTTTGAACTGCTTCATATATTAATTGTTTATTTTACTCTCTTTATTAATAAATTAATTCAAGAGCCATTAAAATTAGTTATGGCCAAGTAACATGATGGGTTTCTTAAATTTAAAACTTTTCACTAAAGAATATTGTTTACACTCTATCAGAAATTGTTTCTATCTCTAAAGGATAATTATAACATATATTCATAAACTTGATGAATTATTTCTATTAAACAATAGCTTCCATCACTTTCTTTCTTGGTATAACCTTAATAGTAAAATTAGTTAAATGTAAAAGTTTTAACAACAATGGAAAAGATTTATTCAACATAGTCATTTTTTAGATGAATTATTTAAAAATTGGTTTAGTATTAGTTGAAACCTTATCTGATGTTTTTTTAGTCTTTGAATTTAACTGAAATTTACAAGTATCTTATTCTATTCTTAATTATTCTGATATATCTTAATTTGATTCCAATAAATTTTTTATTTTAAATAAATAAGTACCTATTTATAAGATATTGCATCCAAAGGATTTAAATTATTCATTTGGATCTACCTTATTAAATAGTATTTATTTAATATTTTGACCACATAATTACCAAATTTACTATAGAAGTATTTTAAATTATTCATCTTTGTATATTTAAATTAATTCAACCTAATATTTAAAGTAATTATTGATTATTAATTATAAATAGGAGATTAAAACATTATTCAAATCTACTTTTAAATAATTAGGGTTTTCAAGATGAAATTTCTCTAATGCACTAGGATTCATAAAAGAACATAAGATTTATTCTAATTTAAATTATTGTGCAAATTTAGCTAATTCTGGCATTTTGCATAATTATAAGATTATTTAATCTGATGGATATATAATTAAAATCCCTCTTTTATCTGGTATTTTATGTCTCTTACTAAAATATATAAATTTTATTAATTTAAGTAGATGAGGAACAACAATTTATAAATCTATTAATTTCAACATTAACACTTTTATTGCAAATTCCTTTCTTATTTTATTCTCTTTTTCAGATTGATCTTTTTCTTCATAAAGACATTAATTAAATTTATCTTTGTTTTGATCAAATTAATTTAATGATCCATTTTATATATCATTTTATGATATTAATTCGTGTTATACATGTTAAGATTCATCTGAACTCATTTACTATTAATTTAATTCTAATGCTAATAAATCTGAATGAATAATTTTAACTTATTAAATAATCATTTTTAATATTTTGGAATTTTAAATTACTTAATTTTTAATTTGTCTACATAAATTATATTGAATTCTAATATTTTGTAAATCTAAATGATGCATTTTAAATCTTTTCATTCCAAAATCAGCTAATTTATTAGTAAAATATTAAAGTAATTTTAGTATTATTTTTTCATCATTATCTAATTTAGTTGTATCAGATTTTTAAGTTATTTCTGAATTTGAACTTTTATCTTTTTCTAATTTATTACGAATTCTATTTAATTGTTTCAACAATGCATCACAATAATTTAAAGTAACTTTATCTTTTGAGATATTTACAAAAGATAGAATTTGAGGAAAAACAACTCCTCTTTCTATTATGTAAATTAAATATTCCCTAATTTATTAAATCATTCCATCAGTGGGAATTTTCGATGTTAGGATTTGATCACTAAGTTATATATTTGATGTTGAATTTGAGTTTAATGGTAGGTCTATTAATTTCAATTAATAAGAAAGTGTTTGATTATCTTATGTTTAATTTATTAAATAAGCATTCTGATAATTCTAAGTCAATTTTTCTTAAGTTTTCTAGTGTTTCTTATCTAACATAATTATTATTAATTTTACTGCTCCTAATTTTTTGAATGAATAAGTAAAAGTGATTTATATTAGCTGAATATATAAAGGATTTTTTTATATTACAATATTCAAATATTAAGTTAGATTTTACTTAAATATTTATATAATAATTATAAAATTTCCTTAATTTATTTCGAATCAATAATTATTTTATTAGAAATCAAAACATTAGATCAAAATCAAATGAAAATTATTCTTATATAGTTATTTAGTTCATTTTATATTCAGATATTTAAATATCATAAAAGAGTTAATTTTATATATAACCATTCTGATTTTATAATTAAGTGTTGTATGCTAAGATTTATAATAAAAGGTGAAATTTCTAGCTCTAATTTAATAGTATTACATTATGTGTATCTTAATAAGTTTGAATAAAAAAGGTTATTATTACCTTTGAAATATTTTTAATTTTATATATGATTTTATCTGAAAGAAACAAGCCTAACATGTAAATGTAAAGAAAATACAAGCAGATCTCATTATCTTAAGTCTTGAAAAAGCCACTCATTATAAAATCCTTGCCTCCTATATTTATTACCTCTGTTCAAAAGACTTTGAAATATACTTAATAAAAATCAGATAATTGCTAATCTCAAAGATTTTCATAAGAGTCTATATTGAATAAATTTAATTGTTTTGGACCAGTAGGATTATCATAAACTCCTTTGAATAAAAATCCTATATAATAGCAAATAGTTTTATTGAGCAGTAGAAAATTAGACATTCAAGATAAAAAAAAATATACTAATTATAGAAAAATTCATGTTAAACCAATATAACTTTTGACAGAAAAATATCACACAGAGGAAGATGTTCAAAATGATAAAGTCAATAAATGGTCTTAGACTACATTTGATGAAGACTAGCTGCTTGAATATTTAAATAACTGAAAAATTGAATGAAAATAAAACTGATTTTTTATATGTATTTTATATGTAAGTCTTTTTTAATTAAAAAAAATTGATTTTCAATATTAATTTAATGAAATTGCTTTTAATTTTATTGTTATGTTTGAGTACTTACGCTTTTACAGATTAAATGATGTCTTTAGAAGAACTGGCAAAATTTGATATCAAAAGTGTAGATTGTACAAAGATTGATCAAATATCTTTAATTGAAAAACAAATGCAATAATGGGAAGACTTATTAAAACATTAAAAAGCTATTTCTCATGATATTAAAATATTAAAATCTATGGAACATCTATTATCATCAAAGTCAAATTCATTTTTAGAGATTCAAACATAAATTTCTGGAAAAAAATTGATGAAAAAATTACACAAATTAGAATTACCATTAACTAAAAGTAAAATTGGATTAGCATAAGTATAATTGTTAAAAGAATAATGTAAAGGCTTAGATTCAGAAAGTAAATATTGAATATAAAATAAATTAGATCCTGAAGAAAGAGCTTAAGCAAAAAAAGAGTTATGCAAACTTTTAAAGGAATATGTTAATAATTTAAATAATTGTAAGTAATAATGTACTAATTCACCTGTGACAGTTATTAAGATTAAAGGATAGATTAAAGACTTGGAAATAATAAGAGATAATTGTTAAAATGGAAAAATTAGTAGAGTCAAAGTTGTAACAATAGATGGTGAAAATCAAGAATATAAAGTAGCAGCAGATGGCACAACTGAAATACAATGATTATTAATAACAATATATTGATTAATAGAAAGATCATTAAGGTCTATTTATTATATTAAATGGATTATACATTTATATAAAATAGTGAGAATTTCAATTTCTATGGATTGTTCTCATATTTTAAATTATCTTTTTAACAAGACCTACACTTGAATTAAATGATTCAAAAAGCTAAAGAAGTAGATACTCTTTAAAAAAGAATATGCGATCCAGAATTTTCATATAATCCAAAATTATTTAGTATCAACAATTATCCTAAATATTTTAATTAAAATAATATCATAAAATACTCACATTAAGATACTAAATAAAAAATAATGTCTTGCAAATAATTTGGGTCTTAATTTAAGGAGTAGTATTTTTATATTTTAGGTTTGCGATCTTTACTTTATTAACCTAATACTTTTGAATAAAGTCTTTAATATATGTGTATATACTCGAACTTAATTTAGCTAGAAGATTATATCCTTGGGTAGCTTTTGATATATTCCTTAAAAAGAAATAATTAGTGTTATTTTTTAACTTTATAGATCATATCTTTTGTGAAATATATGATGGTGAATAAATGAAAATGGTCCATTTTGTATAATTAGAAGTATGATATATTTAATTATTTAGAAAGTAACTTATGGATTCTAATTAGATGAAATAATAGTAACAAATAATAATAAATGTATCATATATAGAGCAAGATATTAAGAATAAAGAAACTATATAGCTGAAGTTTTTCGTTTTGCTATTGCTAAAGATCTTGAAATAAAACTAATGTCTCATTTTATTAATCCTAATGATCCTGATTTTAGAGCTAAAATAATAGATCAAGAAAATGTAATAGATAATTTTTAATTTTAGAGTATAGAAGTAGTGAAACAATAAAACTTTAAATTGATAAGAAATGATAGAGTAATTCCTCCTTCACCTTTATTATCATATAAAGGTAGGATTATAAGTGATTATTTATAAAACCCCTTACATGGGAATTTTACTTATTATATTAGTTTAGGTTAAAACAATATTGTTTAACATAAGTATCCTCATAATTTTATTACAATAATACCATATATGTCTGATTAATTTTATATGGAAGAAACATAATGTTAAACATGTTTAGGATTACATATTGGTAAATAGTTAAATTATGCTTATTTTGGAAGTTCATAAGAAAGAGAAAACTATAAAAATGCTATAAAAGCAAGAAAGAGTGGAATAATTAATTTAGATGTAATTTTTATTCATTTTGAAGAGGATAGTTTAGATAGATTAATTTAATTTAAAAGAATAAAATTAAAAGAAATAAATCTAAAAATTGAATAAACAGAATAATAGTTATAATAATTATTATCAATAAAGAATGAATTAGAAATGAATGTAATAGAAGAAGAATTAAATTCAGCAATAAAATAGAAATTATTGAAGTAATCATAATCTTGAAGTATGATTATTTAATATACTTTATCAAGATTTGATTTACCAAATTTGTTTTAAGAATAATGATTATATAAAATATTTTTATTATTAAAAGTTAATCTTTATTAATTAATATTTAACTATCAAAAATAGATATTTTTAATACATAAAATAATTCAGTAAAATTAATAAAATTATACTAAATAATCATTCACATTCTTCTACAATTAACTAAACCTTATTTGAATCTGTAAACACATCACTAATTATTTCATCCTTTTTATCTTTCAATGATAACCTTGGAAAGCTCTAAATTAGATCTATATTTGAATTAGGATCATTGAAACAATCATCTTCTTAACTTAATGCAAAATCAAATATTGACTAAATGCTAGATTATAAGATATACCTATATTTTATCATTAAAATTAAATCTTCTAGTTTTATTAGAATTCTCAAATCTAAATAATATTTCTATTCCTTCTTCATTTTCTGGTTCATCTGGTAAGTTTGATAATATAGTAGCTTTTTGTAAAAGTCTTTATTCCTAAAATTATTTTATTTTCATACACTTAATTATTGTTATTCCAATAATTTATTTTCTTATTATTATTTTTATTCTTATTCTCTTCTTTTTTTCTCTGCTGCTTATTATTCTGCAATTCGATAAGCTTCTTATTATTATTTTATTAATTATTCTCTTTCTCTTTACTATACATCTTGCTATCTTCTTTAAGAATATTGTTATTATTATTATTAACCATAGAAATTTGGAATATATTATTATGGAATATTAAATTCTCTTTTTACTTGATCTTCCATTATAAATTACTTATTAAATTGACCTTTTAAAGATTTTAACTTTCCAGCTAATTCTTAAAAATTACTCTCTGGTGACAAATGTATTGTGTCCATTAAAATAGGTTACTCAGTTAAATCTAATCTGTAAATTAGAAGAGTTGGAGGTTAAGGTTTTACAGGTAACAAATCATATACCTAAGGACTTTCCAAAAATCCTACAATATGATAATTTTTGTTGACAATCTAAACAAAAGTTTTGCTGTTTATCATATTCTCAAAGGTATATAAAGATTATTGATTATGTAAATATATCAATAAAGGTTTAGTCTCTTCATGAGCTCTCTTCAGGTTATCTTAAAAGTTGCCCATTTAAAAATTAATGTCTGTTTAAATCTATTATTATTAAATAAATGTCTAGAATGCCATTCCATGATTTGTTTCTCGTTTGACTAAAATCTTTATTATAAACTAAATACATATATATGTTATTGCACTCCAACCAAATTTAAAAGTCTTTTTAAGAATTCCATCATCATTTGCTCTTTTATCCTCTTGATATTTTTTATATTTCTCAATCAATGTTGTATCTGGAGCTGATCTCTAACGTATAAGTTCAGGTGGAGGATTGTTTTGATTAAAAATCATTGTATTCACTATTTCTAAGAACATATAATACCTTCTTTAACATCTTGCTAATTTAAATATTATTGCTAATTTTATTACTATGGTGATTTTTAAGATTAAACACTTGATTGTTAGCTCAAAGTTGGTTAACCTTCTAAGTCAAGATAAAGTTGAATTGCATTCTAAAAATATTCATTAATTCTACTTCTAAATTATTGTCCCCCATCTAAATATATTATAAGGCTTTTTATTCATCTTAACATCCTGTTAAAGCCATAAAGTCTAGTATGTCTTTTTCTTAAGTTGCTTGCATTTATTTATATTAATTTATATTAATTTTCTTAAAATCACATCAGCATTTATTGGATGATGTAAATGTAAAAAATAAAAGAAATTTTATTTATAATTATATAGATTTCTTTTATTATTTCTAAATCAAAACAATTTATAATACAATAATACATTTTTATTTAAGTTTTAAAATACATTATTACTTTTTTATTATGTTACAAGATATTTTTATATGAAATCTATTCAATAATTATTATAAATTATAATATATATTATATTTTATATTTTTTAATATATTTACTTTAAAAATTAATAAAGATGATACAAAAATAACACTCAAAAAAATTTTAATGATGCTTCTAATTCAGAAAGAAACTTTGTATATTAATTTTGTTTAATTTCAATTTTTTTCATTTGATCTTTCAATTTTTTATTTATATCCAGTTTAGTTAATTCTCTATTAATTTGATTAATTGTAAATTGCTCTATTTAAGATAAAACTGGCTTTTATATATTTGTTAAATAGACTGATAAGATACCCTTTTCTGCTAATCTATTTAGAAATGCCATAAAAGTAAAAACAAATTATTTGTTATCAGTAAGAAACTAATGAATTTAAGTTGATGTCAGTTGATTATTTATATAATAATCTGTTAATGTTTTGGATTTATTTAAAATAAGATTCATAGCAGTAGTTTAATCTATTTATTCATTAAGTTATATTGGTTGCTGTTATACTTTTTATGTGGCATATCTATTAAATCTCTTTCTTTATCCAAATTGTTTAGGAGGTAACTCTTCACTTAATTATTTTTATAAGGATTTAGTTGATTCTTATAAATTGGAGTTACTTAATTTAGGTAATATTTGATTTATTGATCCTTTATGAGTAAGTCTAAATTTGGTATATTAGGTTTTGCTAGTTTCATCATCAGGAGTTCGTTTTTCACTTTATGTGGATTCATTTTATTCAAATTCATCTCCTTCTATTGAAGTTCTAAATTCTTGTTATTTCTTGAGTTCTTTGATTGTTTTAACAGTAGTTGATTATATTATATTTTATTCCATTTATTATTTCATAAATTATATTATTTTATATATATAATAAAATACAAGATTATAATATAGAGTAGAGATCATCATCTTCATTCATTGGTTTTAAATTGATCTGAAATCTACCCAATTTTATCTAAATGTTATGTAATCCCATGTTTAATTTTCATATGTTACATTAATGATCCTTCAGAACCATAAGATTTATTGCAATTTTTAATTTAACAAACATGACTTCTTGGAATCTCAATAGCAGATCTTCTATTTCTTTTTCTTTTATCTTCCATTGATAATTCACTTTCTTAATCATCCAAAGCCTAAAATTTCAATAATTTTTGCTTAATCTCATTTCTCTCTTAAGTGACTTATTCAACCTAGCATTATTTTAAGAGACAATAAATGTACATGTTAATGAAGAACTATATTATAATAATATAATCTAATTGATTCCTTGTAGTAGTCAATAGCATGTTATTGATCATACTCATTGATTCCTTCATTATTAGACATTATTGTTTAAATAAATATAATTGCTTTTCTTTTATATACAATAATTTGGTTATAAACAATCTCATTATGTTAATCTAGACAAATTTATTAGTCTACATCCAATACAAGAAAATACTGAATCATCTATATTCAAAGTGACACCTAAAATAGTACCAATAATCTTAAGAGTTTCAATTATTTGTGTTGAAATTCTTCCTAATTTTATTTAACTCACTTTTCTTTAACTAATTGCCATTAACAATAATGCATATTATTATTAAGTGTTATCAAAATATCCAATATTTTTTATTTCATCTAATAATCTCATTGTAGCAGTTTCACCTACTTTTTCTGGATTATTAAATTCATTTGAATATTCACAATCACATGAGATAAATAAACTATTTCTACTCTCTACTATTAAACTTACTCGATATCAATTCTAAAATTCAATTCTTTTTTATGATTTTTGTAAATCAGTATGAATCCAAACATCAGGTATATCATCATTAACACATTTCTACATTGACTAACAACTCTAATCAAAAGATTAGGAGCTACCTTACTACCTGAATATACTCCTCTTATTTTAATAAATAGGTCTTCTTTCAATTATAGTTGTAGTCTAAATCTATGAATTTATAATTGAATCTACAGATTAATCAGTCTAATCATTTGTTATGCCATCTAATTCTATATTTAAAGGAACTTAATAAACTCAGAATCAATAAGATTTTCAAATAATATGATATTGATCTATCAAAACCAAGCTTACAAATTTGCAACATAACATCTTAATTTTTTATGATTCCTATATCTAATTTTAAACTTAACTTGTTATATATATAATTCCTTTTGTGTTAACATCAATCTTGAATCCAGTTTAGATTAATTACAATAATTTTAACATTTTTTATAAATGAGGACTTGGCTTATATATATATCTCAATATTGATTTTACATATTATTAAAATTCTATTTTAACTGCTCTTTCACTCAAAGTTGAACAAAGTAGAATTTCTCTAAAATTTATCACTTATTAAAAACTAATCATATATATATATTAATGACAATATATATTTTATACAAATACTTGCTATGGTCAAACAATTAAATTTAATTTGCCATCTTTTTTATAAATTAAAGGAAGATGAATAAGAAATAGGACTCTGGTTAAAAATGGCCACTTTTTTATCAAAATTTTATTAAAGCATAGAATTAAATTTATTATTCTGATGTACTCTAATAGATCACAATCATATAGAAAAAATAACTCTTTAAAACTTTATCCAGGAAGTCCAACTGAATCTCATCTATAAGAATCAGAATACAAATATTTACCTTTGATTACAAGAGTTAGTTAAGAATAATTAGACCCAAAGTGGTAGGAATGCAAAATTGATGGTAAAAATCTCTTACCGAGATCAAGCTCAGCTATAACCATTTAAAATAATCAGTAAATTAATATAATAACTCAGTTTATATTTATATGGAGGATATTAATATGCAATAGGTATCATGAAAGACTTCTATAAACTTAATCTGAATGCCCCAACTTTTGTATGGTAGAAAATTAAATGCAATTATGAACCAGGACCTAGATGTAGACATTCAATTTGTAGTTTCTAAGAGAATATTTACATATTTGGTGGATAAGTAGCTGATTTAATATCAACAAATGAAATATTCATTCATGACGTCAAATAACAATAATGGACAAAATTAGAAGTTAATAAAACATATCCATAACCTATGGATAATCATTGTGCAACATTATATAAAGATCAATGGATCATATTTGGAGGGTTTTATAGTGGCAATCAATGTAAACACTCTAATGATTTATTCAGTTATAAATTTTAAGATAATAAATGGGTCAAATTAAATAAACAAAAAGGAATGGAACCTGCCCCTAGAGATGGTAGTTCTATAACTAGTTATAATAATAGTGTATATATATTTGGAGGTAAAAATGGAGATTTGAGGTATAATGATCTTTGGTAATTTGATATGTTGAAATTAGAATGGAATTTTATAGCAATTAACAATTTAAATACTATTCCAATGAGTAGATCTGGACATTCATTAATATCTTATTAAAATAATTTAATTCTTTTTGGAGGTATTCATGATGTGACATGGGAACTTGATGATTTACATTGTTTCAATTTGGATCTTAAAGAATGGAAAACTATAAATTTTGATACTTCAAGGAGACAGGAATTAGAATTACCTTCACCTCCAAAAACTAATAGAAATCCACCAAGATAAAGGAAACCTAAAAGATTACCAATCTTACTTAGACCTTTAAGTTTGAGAAAATCTCCATGTCCCTCACCTAAAAAACTTCGTCCTGGTTCGTAATCATAATATTCTTCTTATTCTATTAAAAATTAAAACAATTTTGCTAGTCCTGATCTTAGTTAATGTTAAAGTAACTTATATAATTAAAATACTACAACTGTTTAAACAACTTTAAATAATGTTTAAGAAAGAAAAAGATGGGAATAATAAAAGTAAAAGATAGCTATGTTGAAATTATTTGAAGTTGAAAATAGAGAAATAATGAACTTTTAAGATGATTGCAATGTTGCTGAAAAATTAAAAACATCAATTATTTTGATTGGAAATCCAAAATAAGATTTAAAATTAAAAAAAGGAATATTAACAGAATTTGGATAATAGATTATATCAAAGTATTTGATAATTTTAAATAATATTTAGATTTCTTTTACCATTAACAGGAGGATAGAATACAATTAATGGCAAGAAACCTTGTGCAAGAGATGGACATGCAGTAGTTGTATTTAATGATTCTATGATTCTATTTGGAGGAGATAGACATACAATGTCTTTTAATGATTTGTATTTATTGAACTTGAATCAATTTTGAAAAGTTTTAATTGAATTTAGTTTCATTTATTTTTTATTTTACAATTATAAATATATATTATAATAATGAATTCTAGAGATGAAGATCCATTAAATTAAGTAGATTTAGATTAAGCATATGATATTCCAAATCAATAAGGAAATTTAAAATAAAAAATAAATGAAATTCAAGATATTACTGCTGAAAAATATGATGACATTAATTAAATTATCAATTATGAAATGAGAGCAATGTAAGAGAAATTAGGATTTAGAGGAGAAAGACCATAAATATACTAATAAACAGCTTTGTTTGTAGCTGTAATTTAGTTAATAATAGCAACATTTTTATCAATGTTAATTTCATAAACAACGTTTTTAGGTCATGCTTGGACATTTATTCCATGGGTCTAATATCTATTCATATTTACATATTTATTCACTATTATTAGTATTTAATGTTTTTAAGAAACAATCTAAGAGGTAATAAATTTAAATTGAAATGATAGACAAGATACAATTTTGGAATTTGTTGCATTCATGCAGTCTCTAAAATTGTTTTAATTGTATTTATATCCATATGGTTCTTTGACATAAGAGTGGAAATATTTTTAGTAGCATTAGTTGCAATTTAAGGCTATGTCACTCTTAAGATATATATTCCTACTTAAAAAAATGAAGAGTTCGAACTTAAAGTAAAGGATTTATGGAAAAAGATGACTTTGTTTTAACTTTGTATTTCTATATTCTTAGTATCAATTTCTATTATTTAAGATGTACTTTACAAGATCAACTTATACATTTGGATTTATAGTGTTTGTATCAACTCTATTAATAGGAATTTATACTATAGTGTGTTTGTAAAGATTTAAAGAATAGTCATATTTTTCATTTAATTCTAATGATTTATATTTAGGTGCTTTATAATTGGAAGCAGATATGATTTTTCCATGCGCATTGATTACATTTCAATAAAAAAATAAAACTTAAACTCCTTCTCCACATCCATCAATAAGGAGTGAGAAAGAGAATGAGAATAAGAGATAAGACTCAGAATAAAGAATAGCAGTACAATCTATAAAGAGTGTTGCTGATTGATACAATATGTTGCTCTTTCATATTAAATTAAAAAATAGTATTAATAATAATAATTAATTTCAATTAATGGATATATCATCTTATTAATTTTGTTCTGTTTTGCAGATTTCAGATTTTGAATCTTCATTATTCTCAGAATAAGTTACTTCTAAATCTCCATTTTATTAAACTACAATAGATTTATCATGAGTATTATATAAGATTTCTTTAATTCCTTTACAAATTTAATCAGCAGTCAATCCTTATTATATGTGTTATTCCATTAAACCATCCAAATCTTTTAATTTTAAGTAATAAAAATCTCTTTCACATTTCAACGTTTCAATTTATAATAATAAATCTGTCATAGAAGCTTATCTATTTTCTTTATTAGAAAAATCATTATTTAAAATTTAGATTGTTGCAAAAGAGGAATTCTTAGATAAATTTTGAATAATCTATTACTACAATATAATTAAAAAATTATAATACATCTTTAGTATTATTTTTTGTTAGAACTTTAGGTTTTGATTAATTTCTAATTTATTTGTCAGGATCCTCAAAATCTTGATTTCCTCTTTTTGTCAATGGATCATAGTCTTTTGGTACATAATGAGTGTCAATATATTTTTTCATCCATTAGAGAAATTCAAGATTATCTTAATATTTGCATTTAGTCAATTTTTCAATTTCAACTGGTTTCTATAATCCCAATTTTGTAAATGCTTATTAAAGAATTTTAAAATTATTAACAAATTCATATTCTTATTTTGCTCTCCAATTTACTTTACTTAATTGAACTAATCATTAAAAAAATTAAATACTTTTCCCTGGATGAACTGCATCTATAAGTTAACAATAAATGGCCCCAGTTCCTAATTATTCAATTTTATTAATAGTTGTTTTTAATAAATCATTGACCCATTATAATAATTCAGCTCTTGATATTTCTTAATTCATAGCAATTTAAATTCAAATTAATATTTAGGTTAAAATATATATATATATATCATTAATCTCTCATATTTTCAAGTTGTTTTTCTAATTTCTTATATTTGTTATCATTTATAGAATTCAATAACTTCATTTCATAACCATTACTTCTATCAACACCATCCCATCTAAATCCAGGTAATATATTGAATCTATTGATTGGAGGTGGGAATTTACATTTTAATAAGAAATCAGATTGCTTTAATGTAATTTATTTATCATCTTCTTCTTAAATCATCTTTCTCATTGGATCATCAAATTTCTATTGGCCCATTAATTACATATCAATTTATTTTATTTATTCTTCATTCTTAGTTACTAAAGCTTATTGAGCATCTTCTTACTTCTTCTATTTCTCTTATATTTAAACAAGTCCTTTTGACCACATTTCTATTTGTTATTTGTTTGCTTATAGAATTGCTTATTTATCTTCTTTAGCTTTCAATCTAGGATTTAATTATTTTTCTTATTCAACTCTTTAACTTTAAGTAATTCTCTAACCTGTCTTAACATCTCTATGAATGACTTCTTAAGGTTTAGGTGCTCTCTCGACAGACATATCAGAATCAGATTTGCTAGAAGAATTATCAGACTCTGAATCTGAATCTGACTCAGATGAACTAGATCCTTAACTATTGCTTCTACTTCTTTCTTTATTCATCATCTATTTGAGAAACAATTATTTCTTCTATTTATCAATGAGTATAGATTCAGGTGTTTCCACAAATATTGGTTATTGTTCCAATTCATTATAGTTTTCTTTACTTATCACTCTTCCCATCAATACATCAATATTATCTTGATCTTTAATATTATTTTGATAAGTAACTTTTGTTTTCGATTGTCCATTATCCATATATTTCTTTAAGTATGAAAGTTTATCCATTATTGATATATATATATTTTTATTATTATTTATACACTCATATATCATTTTTACATATAGGGTTTCAATCTCTCTGCAGAAAATTCCCATAACTTTTCAGATAATTGTTTATTTGCATATAATGGTTATTTTAATTTGCAATCTGAATAGTATCCTCCATCTACTAATTTATCATAATCTTCTAAAGCGCATTACAAAGTAGTTTATGCTCCTTATAAACAACTCTTAGAAAAAATAAAATAAATTGGAGTAACTAATTTGAATAGGATATTTAATATAGGATTTCCAACAATCTCTCTCACTAATTCTGTTCTTACTACTCCAGGATGTAATGAACTAAAATAAAAATTTAACATTACCAACCCTTTATTCCATGTCTTTTAGAAATTTCCATAGCATGAAGTATATTGCATAATTTACTATTTCCATATGCTTATAAATTGTATTTAATTGGCCATAGTTTAGAATTAGCAAATTAAGTACAATTTATATCTTTGAAATCTAACTTAGAGTGTTTATGAGCTAAAGATGATACATTAACTACTCTGCTTTATTATGCAGTTTTCAAATAGGGAATCTAAAAAGAATAAATTAAATATTAGTACCAATAACTCAGTCAATAGAAAATGTCCTAAGTGATTAGTACCAAATTAAAGTTCATAAGATTGTTTAGTTGTTTTATAAGTTTAAGGAGCCATTACACCAGCATTATTAATTAGAATATCTATTTATGGGATATTTAATTTCTTAAAATCTTCGGCACATTATTTTACAGAATTGAGACATGATAAATCTAATTTTATCATATAAGCTTTGGTTATTTTATTCTATTCTTTTAATTAATTTGAATACCAATTAATCTAAAACTTATTATCCTTTGATTGTATCTCGACATGCAATCACAATAGTGGCACCCATAGTTGCTAATTAAAGTGCTGTTTCCTTTCCAATACCAGTATTAGCCCCAGTTATGAAGACAATCTTTCCATTCAGATCCTTTTTTAATTTGCATACTCCTCCAGTCATATAGATATGAAGCAACCATAAAAAGAGAGCTATTCCTAAAATACAAAAAATGCACATTAAAAATAATATGAATATAATTTATTCTTTATTCTTAATTAAAAGATTTTAGAATTATATATTAATTAAATGAATTCTAAAATATATTAGATAATAACAAAATAAATTTATATTAAAATATGTTTCAATAACGATTTGATTATCTAAGATTGCCTGGCTTTGTAGCAGATAATATTATATTAGATCGTAAACATAATTATTATTGATTCATAGCTAGTAGTATAAAGATAGGAGTAGGTTAAAATGCAATTAGAAAGATTTTCAAGGTGCAAGATTATGATTAATTTGAAAGAATGCAAATAAGTTCATTAGCTTAAGCATTATAAAAGAATTAGAAATATGATGCAAATATTCACACAGATGATCTTCTACTTAGATATCTTTATGCTAATAAATTCAATATTCAAGCCTCAGTTGATGTAATCATAATAATCATTCTAGCAATTAGTTAAAACAAATGAGATTCTTTTCTAAACTGGTTATATGTAACTTGATAGAGAAGTAGAGTAATTATATGTAAATAAATAATCTAAATTAATAGTTTAAAGGAGCATTATATATAGAGGGAAGAACTAGATAACATGTTCCTTGTATTGTAGTATCTACAAAGTTAGTGGATGATTTGGCATTATTTGAGAGAGCAGCTATTATTTTATGTGCTATAATTGAGGATTATATGTTTTATAGTGGTAAAGTGGAATCATGGATAGCTGTTATTTAAACTAAAGATTAGAGTGCTTACAAAATGCCATTAGATAAAATATTTTCTATTATTAAGATATTGTAGACTTGTTTCCCAAATACTTGTGATGCAATATACATTCTTAATGCTACTCTATCTATTAATCTACTTTGGTCATAAATTGAAGGTAATAAATTTCATAATGAATAGAATATATAAGTCCTATTACTCTTGGTAAAATTAAATTTTTGAAGGATAAAGAATTACCTATATTATCAAATTAATTTCATCCTGAGTAACTTGAATAATCATTAGGAGGTGAAAAGATTTTATAATCATATTGGCCACCAGATCCTAATGATTATATGTATGATTAACCACCTTAATAATAACAACCATTTTATGAGTATGAAGAATAACCTTAGGTCTTCTTTTCAGATAATAATAATAATCTATAATACATGAATGAAGCACCTATTTTACATGAAGAAATTCCACCACCTATACCTGTTTCAAAATAACCTGAACCTATATAAGAAGATATTGTTCCAATTGTCCCTGAAAAAAAGAAAAAATGCATTTGTGTCAAATGTTCTAGAGATTTAGAAAATTTAAATTCTTAACCTCGTGAACGTTAAGCTTCTGAACCTTAACCTGTAAATAAACCTATAATAAAATAATAAGAGCCATAAAAATAAGTAATTTAATAATTGGATGATACTTATATCCCATATGAAAGAAAATATGATAGTTTCATTAATGATACTAGTTTATTAATCCCAAAGACAATGAATGATACTATTTAATAAGATAATAAAGATGAACAATAATTTGGTGGTAATTCATTTAATAATTCTTAATATTAATAATTTGGTCAATAACCTGAAGTAAATCAAAAATCTAGTAAACCATCATTCACAAATCCATTTTATAATGCTGATTCAATGTAAGGATCTTAAAAAATAGAAACAAAACAACCTCCAGTGATTTCAAATAAAGTGAGTTAAGAAATTTAAGCTAATATGGATGATACTATAATTGATGATAAACCAGATTATTAACCTAAATATATTAGCAAACATAATCGACCATAATAATCTAGTAATTTTAATCAACCATCTCAATCAAGTCGTCTAACATATAATAATCCAAATATTTACAATTTATAAAATATTCCTAGTTATAATCCAATTAATTATGCCTAATATTCATAATAACCTGCTTAATCATCATAATATATACCAACTCTCTAAACTTAACCTTAGAGTTAATAATATATAAATATAGAACCTTAATTTTAAAAGTTTGAAGTTATTTAATAGCATCCAGTATAAGTACAAGAATTTGAAAATACTAATTACAATCCTAACTAATCCATTTATGCTCCATAACTTTCTAATGATCCAAAAAAGAAATATGATTTTAGTTAATGGGATAAGTATAATGATGGTAATGATATTGTGCCTATGTAACCATATGTTCCTATATCAAATACTTATACAACTCCTTATGTACAATAGAGTCCAACACCCAATTATAATATAAACGAAGATTATAATAAGATATATGATACTACTAATGATTATAAGCCTGGAGAATTTAGACCATCTACCTATAATTTTACTCCTTATGATTATAGATATAGTGATTAACAATTTTAGCCAAATGCGACTAAAGAGAATGGGTATGAATAGAATAATTATAATTTAGAACTTAATAATTATATCAATAAAAACCAGGATAGTAAGCATGTTAAATATTTTGATTGATCAATATATAGTTTGAATTAATTATTATTATGATGTTTAATCCATTCTAACAGTGCCATGATTGTCTTCATCTAAATAGACATCATCTAAAATTTCATTAAATAAATCTCTGAGAGATATTATTCCTTAGAGTTCTTAGCTAATCACAAATGCAATGTTAGTCTTGTATTTTTGAAACATTAACAATAAATCTAACATAGTTGTGTCACCTGATATTATCAAAGGTTAATAAACCTTTACTAATTCTACTATTAATTAACCATAATTTGATTCATCCAAGGTTATCAGATCTTTAGATTTGAACAATCCAATCACACAATTATTCTCAATTATAGGTATCAGTGAATATTCCTTTACTTTTAATCTCCTTATTAATCTCTTACAATAAGGTTCATCTGGCTAAATATAGCATACATGATGAAGTGGTTTAATAAAATTGATCACATATTTATTTCTCAATTCCATCACAGATACTATGATTTTTAATTCTTCTGGTTTAATCACATCTTATTGTTAACATATCTCCATTAATTATCGAATATATTCCAAATGATATCTTTTACATTTTGTACCAAGAACCTTATCTAGAATCAAACTTAAGGGATAGCAAATCAGATATAAAATTGAAATTAGAAACTAAATATAAGGTGTAATGAATGATGCTATTCTAAATTAATGCTTTCCTGTCATTATTGCTGATGGAAATATTTCTCCAAACAAAACTACTAATATTACAGATATTAACAATGCAATCCAATCACCTGTACTCCTTTTTATAAAAATTGGTAATGATTCATTAGCCAATGAATTTGCTACTAATAAAGTTGATAATAGTAAATGATGCTCTTAAATTACAGATAAAATACGAGATGCCTACTATTATTTATGTAATACCCATTATCTTTTCTTATTCATTTCCATACCTCAGCTTTACCTCTATTGTTATTTAATCTATTGACAAAAGACCTTATGTGGCTCCACTGCAAAAACCAGAAAATAATATTAACAATCTAATGATTAATTTATTCTTATACAAACTTATCACTCCATACAAAATATGATCTTCTATTTCTATTATCTCAGGATCTAAGGCAATACAATTACCTATCAATCTAAAATATAAAATTAATCGAATTATTCGAAACATTTTATTATTATTACTAATTATCAGAATTCACTAATATTAATTATTTAATAATATTCTAAATAAATTTAATATTTAATTTAACTATCTCATTCTACTTATCGGGAATTAATTCAATTTACATATAGTTTCATTAATTTAAATGGGATCTCCTATGCAATTATTACAAGTTAACATTGTTGAATTAATTAAATAAAATAAAATAAATTTAGTATATAAACAAATATGAAATAATCACAAGATATTATAAAAATTTAAAATCCATTGATTTGACTGATTTAAATATTATGGGTTCCTCTTGTTAAAAATAAAATGAAATCATCACTGCTTATTAAGAATCAGAAGCAATTGAAATTGATGATTAGAGAATTGCTAAAGAAATCTATCCCATAAAAGTTCATAAAGGTTTCAGAAACACCTTTTAAAAAAATAAATAAGTGAATAAGACTTTAGAAGCCACATCTCTTAATTTTCTTTAATAGGAATTAAGTAAATATACTAAACAGAATTATTGTACAGAGAAAATTATTCCTTCATAAATCAAATAGAAACATGAAAAAAAAAATAAAAATAAAAATAAAAATAAAAAGTAGTTAAAAGGTATAATTAAATAACATACATCATGTTAATTAATATAATCAACTACAAGACTCAACTATCATTTAAAATATTAAGAATATGAATTTAGAGTAGGTTAAAGAATACACTCAGAAAAATAAGTGAGATTTAACATTCCGAAATTAAATAATAATTCTTCACGTTCTTGCTCAATCTAAAAATCAAGAAGTAAGAAAAGTCATATTTGATAATATTATTAATACTTATAATTAAAGAAAAAGAATCTTAGAAATTTTTAAATAAAGTAATTCAATTATTTTTTTATTTTTTTGACTGACAGAAAATGATATTAAATGAAAACATTCAAAAGTTAAATTTATTTTCATGATCATTTAAAGTTATAAATGATTTTATCAATTTGATTATTCAATTTCTAAAAAGTTAATGTACTGTTATCTTGATCCTAAAATATTACTTAATTAATTTAATTTATATAAGAAATTACATCTAATATTAAGTATTTTGATCATACATTTTATAAATTATTTACTAATTTTTATGGGTGCTGCTTGTCAATATTAACAATAAGGTTCTGATACTTGCTACAATCAAGAAACACAATGGTATATCCCTATATCAAAAGAGTTTAAACCAAAAGCTATAAATACTAGTATTAAACATGATTTAAGGGCTAATTATCTCGAGTTGGATTGTTAATACTGTGATAGACCAGAAATGAAAGAAATGGGTGCCTAAACTTAGGTTACATTTTATAATATAAATTAATGTGTCACTTAAAAGAAAAAGAACAAAACTTAGAAAAAATAGAAACAGTAAAAATGCAAGGAGAAAGTAAGTTTTGAAAATTCTGAATCAAGCAAAAAACGTTCAGCTAGTCAATCATCTAAAACTTAAAATATACACTTTTTATATTAATCTTATACAAATTAGAGAAAAAATTAATTTTAAGAATTTTAGCCATATGTAGTATTGATTAACTCTCAAAAAGTATCACCCTCTCATGTAGAATAAGTTTCAATAGACTGAAATTTCATAAAAATGATTATTTGTAGTGATCAATATAAAAATCAATTATAAATAAATAAAAACACAATTTTATACTCTATAAAATTAATTATTAAAACAAATTTACTTATATACTGTTCATCGATGGAATTTTCTATTATCATAGATTTTTTTTCAAAACTTTCTTTAAATTTGTAATATTGTGATTTAATACCTTTTTAAAAAAGGATTGATAATTATAAAATTACAAAAAAAAATCAATTAAAATTTCAATCTCATTGAATATATGATATCTTATAAATTGATATTTTAATTATACAATAAAGAAAATTTAGATTTATGGCTTTTAATAAAAATAGATATTAAATTTTATTCGAAATAAATTTTTGAAGTGCAATAAAATTTTAATATGAAATAACAATATCCAGTTCCAAAAGTAACAAAAAAGGTCATCATAATCAATCAAAAGTAAAGAATTCTATTTTGATATACTAGATCAAATGTGTTACATGAAAATGATAATCGATGCAATACTTAAAACTAATAACAATTCAATTATGATTAATAGAAATAAATTAAGAATATTGACATTCCAATAGAACTAGAACGTAAAATAAAATTTAATTCTTAGAAAATGCTAATAATTATAATGAACAATCATATTAGCAAATTACTCTATTGTATTAAAAGAATAGCATTTAATTATAAGATTTCTAAACTTAAATAGATGAATTGAAGTAGAGAATCCAATTTATTGAATAAAAATTCTCTAATTTAGAAGCAACAAGTAAAAAAAAAAAAAACAGAAGAACTGCAGCATAAATAGAGAAAAATTTTGAAGTTAGTTAGATATGATCTATTTTGTAGTGTCCATATAAAAATTGTTTGAAACAGTATGGATCTGATGTTTCTTTAAATTTACATATTAAATTTAAGCATAATGGTGGAAATAAGAGTGAACGCTAAAAAATAATTGTAAATAAACAATTTTATAATAAAAGAAATAATTACAAGCTGGAGAAATTGATGAAAAAGATATTAAAAACATCAACTTACCACCTATATGAATAGCCAATTTTGCAATCAAATATACATTTTGATTTCAAATTAGTTTATGTGTTTCAATATTTTTATTCCGCCTTTTTTTTATTATATATACAGGTTATATTATAGAAAATTTAAATTTGAAAGGACATTATTTTTATTATTAGAGTTTAAATCAATTTCCATCATTTATGTCTAACTTATATGAAAATAATAGAAAATTCATTACAACCAAATAAAGATGGGTATTAATAATATATTAAATTCAGGAAACATTAACACAAAATATAACTAAGAAAATTATAAATAAAGAAAACAGTTCATTAAGCAAAAAAAATGCAATTGTAAAATCAATATAAAAGAATAAATCAACTATATCATATGATAAAAAAATAGAATTACCATCAAGAACAATTACTAAGTTTTTCAAAATATAAAGATCATAATTATACTCAAATCTAAAACTACAAGATTCAAAAGGATGTATTAGAGAATTCAGATGTTATGATGATAAAGCATTAAACATCCCTAATTCTTTTAGTTAAACTATTACACATGTAAATACTATTTCAATATTTAGTAACTAGATAATGATTGTTAATCAGATGATGAACAAGTTCAATTAGCAGTTGAGTAATTAAAAAACTTACTTGAGTCTTAAATAAATTAGTATCATAAGTCCTTTTGAAATCTTAACTTTATTTTTATTATAAAATTTATAATTATTGAATAATAATATTTTACAAATTGAAGAATTAAATGATATTTAAATACAATTATATACATTTATTTTTATTAAATAATAAAAAATACTAAAAATCAATGAAATTATATATAAAATAATATTATATTATTATTATTTTTTAGATGATATATTTCAATTGAATAATATAATCTAATTGAATTAAAAATTTATATATAAATTAGAATACTTTATAGTAATTTTATTAAGTTATTTGACAAAATTATTAGAACTAAAATAAAATTTATATTAATTTATTTATTAAATGGATCCCGATGCTTAAATTAATGAGAGATACTCAAAATTATAAGAGAAATTGAGCACACTACAGTTTGAAGTAGATACTACAAAAGATGCAAAAATAGACGAAATTTATGATAGAGTTAATAAAGCACAAAGTGATTTGAAAGATATTATCAATAATTACAGTGAATAACTTGTAATATTTTGTTCTAAATATAGGTATAATTGACAAGTTAATTTTCTGATCTCAACAAATAATTCGAAAAGCAAAATGAATAATATAGTTCTTAGCATGAAAAAAAACTTAAGGAGATTAAAAATTTAGAGAATAAGCTTTAGAAAAAGCTAGAAGATGACATAAAGGCAAACAGAGAATAAAGTGATTAAGTCCTATCAATCTATGATTAATAAGTATGTTTCTTAAAATTACAACTTTAAAGGTCTAAGATTTACTATAACAACTAGGATAAGAATTAAAGGTTAGAAATCAACAGGTGAATATTATAAATACTACTCTTCAAAATGATTTACCTGCTTTGTGGTAATATAATGTTTAAGAAAATTAAGAAAGAGTACAAGAGGATTAAGATATAGTCAAAAGGGCTAGTAATGAGATTTCTAAACTGTTTGAATAGGCAAATTAAGGAAAATAATAAAGGTACACTAAATCAATTAATTTTATAGAGAAGATGCAGATATGAGTATGTTTTCAATGCTGAAAGAAGTGGTAGTAAGAATCAAGAGTGAATTAGAAGAGGAAAGACAATTAAGAATGGATGGACATGAAGCTTTATTATCTATACTTGAAGAAGCTTATGAGAAAATGGAAGAAACTCATGCAAAAGTTTAGTAATAAAAGGCTGCTTTACAAGAAAAATGAAATATAATATTATGTTCAATTTTTATCATATATGATAATTTTGTATACGAAATTATATAAACTAAAAAGTATGTATTTGAAAAACAAAAGATTAATTTTAAGGTTTGCTTTAAATAATTATAGTTCAAATCTTAATTTTATAAATTTTTAATATAGAGTTATTTCGATTAATTTCTCTATTACCAATTTTTGTTTTAAACTTTACTTTCAGTAGATTTAAATAATTTTGTTCATATTTTATAAGATAATTTTAATAATAAACTTCTATCATAATCCATGATATTCTTATTAATTTAATTTATTGTTTTTATTATAATAATAAAGAATTCTTCTATTCTAATACTAGAATACTATAATTTTAATTAATAATTTTAATTTTCTATTTTTCATATAGAATCATATTATACTAAGTATTTTGGGACTCTTAGTCAATGATTTCAAATATTCTTTTTAGTATTAATAAGGAGTTTAAATAATATTGTAGAAATTAGAGTTATGATTAATATTTTGAGAACATTAAATATTCTAATTTATATATAATATCTTATTTAATATTTATTTGTTTTATAAAGAAGAATTGACGGGATGTTTGAGGATACCGAGTAGAGTTTTAGAGTTAATGAGATAATTTGGGCGAAAGTCTTGGGCTGTAAGTATAATATAATTCTTTAGATCCATGGTGGCCTGCAAAAGTAATTATACAATAATCATCTTATAGATTGCTTCAATTACTAATGTGAATGGCAAGAATGGATAACATAATATATACAGAGTCAATTTTATTGGAGACACTTCACAGTATTAAATTTAGTTAGCATTATAGCGCCAAATTAAGGTTTGATAAATTAAAGAAATGGAATCCTAAACCAATACAATTAGAAACTAAAAAGTTAAAAGAATCAATAGATTTAGCTAATAGTTTGATAGAAGCATTAGAGAAAGCTTAAGAAATTGAATTATCCAATCTAAATGAGCATATTTTAAAGAGTCTAACTATCAAAATGAATGATCTTGTTTATAATGAGAAATCCATTTAAGATGTATAATGAACAAATTATGTCATAGATTATTCAAACCTTAAATCTAATAAACGAGAATGAAAAATTATCTATTGTGAAACTAAATTTGGGATAATAATATTTTGCATTGTATTAAACATTAAAATATGGGAAAGGAGAGAATTATCTTTAATATTCCTAAGATTTTATTGATTAATTGAAAGCAACCATTGGTTTTTAATTATAGTAGGACTTCTTATCAATTTAAAAAAAATAAGAAAAACCTACTCCCAACAGTGATGACACTAAAGAAATCACTGATTCTCCTATTAAGAAAAAGAAAATAGAAGAAATCTCTAAAGTTACACTTTGTAATTAACATTGATCTTATATATAATTATTTCTACGTATTTATTGTATATATCTATTACTTTTTGATTTTTTAAAATCATATTAATAAATTGATTTTTGAATAATATCATAATAAAAAATAAGAAAAAAGTAAAAAGATAAACTTTTTTAGTTATTTTTGAGTTAATCTATTAAAATGCCATGATTGTAACACTTAATATTTTTCATCAATGTAATTATATTTTTTATACGTTTTTTCAGTTCCTCCATTTAATAATTACCATTTATAATCATGGACTAACTGGAATTTTATAATATTCACACTTCTTTTCATCATAAATTATGGATTAATTAAATTTATATTATTGAGTAGCATATAATTATATTGTTCTTCTTGTATACTTCTAATATAATTGTTTATTATTTCTTTATAAAAAGTCATAAAGATGGTTATTGTAATTTTAATCGTTAATAAGTTGTATTCTTTAAATATAGGTCATTTATCAGTGAACTTATTTAAGTTAGGGAAATGAATTATTTTTCGAACATGAGATCTTTTAGAGTGATATATTATTATGCTCATCTATTTTTTCTGATCTAGAATCACGATTATTAGAATGGAATAAAATATATATTTGGAACAAAAAAGAATATAGATAAGTAAAAATCATTTATTATTTTTCTTTATTTTCTTTAGACATCCTAAAGCCTACCTTAATTTATTCATTCTAGCTTAATTGGTTAATTTTTGATGATGCATGATCATCCTATTTACTCTACATCTGAATTCATCAATTTGAGTCTTTGATGAATCAAGGAAGTCTTATGGAATAGTATGAAAGGCATAGTCGAGTTGATCAAGAGCTTTTTCTGAACTTTCGAAAAGAACTGATTGAAGTTTTTATTATGGAAGTCTCATGAGAAGTATGAGCATAGTTCTTGATTCTTCAAGTATCTTGGGTTGATTTGATTCCGTTGCCATAGCAAGATGATTTGAATTATTTTTAAAAAATAATCAAAAATTAACCTCAGTCCTGCTTTATTGTTGTAAATTACAAATCAACCTCATTAAATATAATAGTTAATAATAAAAACCCTAAAAATAGTTATCAAAAAAGTAAATAAATGAATAATAAACAATGTCTTTAAGCTCTATTTTTCTAGAATTTAGAAATAGATAGAAAAACAATAATTAAAGGTTTCTAAATTTATAGTTTTCAAAACTATTAAAACTCTTTATAACATTTTTCAACTAAATAATTTTATTATAAATCATTGATATTTACTTATTCTATCTTTAATCAAGAATTGATTTAGGAAAATAAAATGACATTTAATTTTAGATCATATTTTGAATTTTTAAATTAAATACCCATTTTTTTGTAAATATAAATCAAAATATATAAAATATTAATGTTATGTTGGTGTTTAATGGAAAAATACTGAATTATTAATCAACAATCTTATTACTATTCAATAATCGTTGTTGTCACCATTCTACTTTTATAATACTTAATTAGTTCTTTAGGAGCATATTTAGCAACTTCTGTTGTAAAATATTCTTTAGATTTTGGGATTGTACCATTAGATCTAAATAAATAATAAGATATACCTTGGTCTCCATTATATTGTAGCAATCAACCTACCATTTAAAAAAGACTTCTTGACTGATACAATTTTTTATACTTTGTCACCTTATAAAAAATCACCATTCTCAATTATTGGTCCAAATGTAAATGATTCATTTTTAAAGTTATCCAAACTTAAATCATGAATTTTTTAAATTTTTGATAATTTAGAGGTTGTCATAAGATTTTATGTGAAGTCATCTTCTCTTCCATACCTTGTAAAAATATCAATTAAATTATCCAAATTGTTATTATATTTTGAAATATGTTGATCAGCATCTAGAATTTCTAATTTTGTTTTCTTTTTTTACTAATCTTCTTGCTATTCTAATGTTTACTTTCTTCGATTATTCTTTTTCATTATTAATTTTTTAATAGCTAATAGCGGAAAATTTTTGTGTAAATTTAATTATAAAATACATACTAAAAATTTTCCAAAAACTCATTTTATTTAATATTAATCAACCTATTCAAATACTATTTGAATTAGTTGACTTTTTAAATAGAAAATATTTTGAATTTCAAATAATTAGAAATAGTTTAATTTTCCATAACATAAAATTTATAATATTATAAAAAAAAATGTTTAGATCATAAGAAATGAGTTATTTTTAGTTAGTTATGCCTTAAGACAGTGCATGGACTATCATGGATTAATTAGGATATCTAAGTAAAGTTGAAATTATAGACCATAATCCTAATGAAGCACTAATCAATAGACCATTTGCTAATTATGTTAAAAGGTAAATCAATTTTTATCAAAATATTAGATGTGATGATTTGATAGTAAAAATAGAGAATATGTTATAAGTAGCAAAAAGTTTAAATTTACTATCTAATTATAAGAAAGGAAATTTGAAATAGTTTACCAATCAAGTATTCCATATAATATAATTATTGTTTATAGCAAAATTCACACTCTCATACTTATCTTGACAAAATTGAAGAAGACATAAACAAAAAAACTTCATCTTTTCAAGAATAAAATAAGCATCTTGAATAACTTATAGATTAATCTGAATATATTCAAAATTACATTGAAATTTTAATAGAGAGTAGAAAATATTTGGGTGAACAAGTATTTCAAAATTAATAAATATCAAAATTTGAATGTTAAGTTGGAATACTAAAAAATTTAGAATAACTATAGTATTTATGTGTAGTAGAATAGATTCCATCGTGTAATATTTAGAGTAACAAAAGGAAATTCCATGGTTTATTTAAAGAGAATGAATGAAAAACAATCAATTTTCATTGTTTTATTCCCAAACATAGGAAATTATGGAAAATAAAAAATATAAAAGATAGTGGAATAAGTTTCTTAAGGAAGGTTTACTTTACCTTAGAGTCATTAGGAATTTGAAAAAAAATTAAATGAACTGTAAACGAAACAAGCTGAATATATTAATGTAATAAACAATACAGAATATAGCTTATATAAATGACTTAGAATTAGTTGTGTTAATGCATATCAAATATGTTGGTTCTCAGAAATGGATTACCACTTATAGAATTTTATAAGTTTTACTTAATTAAAGAAAAGGATCTCTATAAAGAACTGAATAAGCTAAAAATGCAAGGAAGACTTTTTCTAGGGGAATTATGGGTGCCAACAAAGGATATTTACTATTTAGAACAAACTTTATAAATGATAAAAGAACAGCAAACTAATAATCCTGGAGGTTAATTAGGTTAAAAGAATCCACCTGATTTTCTTTAGAAACCAACCTATTTCAAGTTAAATGAATTTACTTAAATATTTTAAGAAATAGTTAATACATATGGAATTCCAAGATATCAAGAAATTAATCCTGCAATAATAACAATAATTACATTTCCATTTTTATTTGGAGTAATGTTTGGAGATATAGGTCATGGATTTATATTATTTATGTTTGGATCATATTTATGTTTATTTAAGGATAAATCATTCTATAATTTAAGATATCTAATTTTATTGATGGGTTTATTTAGCTTTTATTCAGGATTAATTTATAATGATTATTTGAGTTTATCTTTAAATCTATTTTAAACTTGTTTAAAATCAGAGGAGAAATGTGTATATCCATTTGGAATTGATCCAATGTGGGGAGGTCATTTAGAATTTAATGATTCATTTAAAATGAAATTAAGCATAATAATTGCATTTTGCCATATGTTATTAGGTGTTACTTTGAGTGGTTTAAATTATCTATTTTTGGGAGATTGGTTAAGATTATCTTGTAAATTTATACCATAATTATTATTTTTGATATGTACAATTGGATATATGGTATTTTTAATAATATACAAATGGTTGAATCATTTTGAGCCATAAAATGCCCCAAGCATTATAACTACAATGATATCAATGATTTTAAATTTAGGTAGAATATCAGGTCCTTAAATGTGGGAAGGAGATTCTTAAGATTATGTTTAATATTGTCTATTATGTACGTTTATTATATAGTATTTAGTAATAACAATCATGACAATACCTTGGATGTGGTTTTCATCAATAATTAGTCATTTGCTTTAATATGGGAATAATCAATAAAATGAAGGTAAACGTAAGACTCACAGAATAGATTATGGATAATTAATAGAAGAGCCAGGAATTGAAATGACCTAAACTCATTCTTATAGTCATGAATAGTTGGATTCAAAATACAACTAGCCAAATGGAGAAACATAAGAATCGACAATCTTTATTAAATCAAAAGATTCTTCTCATTAAGGTATCTAAGATCTTATTGTTCATGAAACAATTGAAACATTAGAATATGTCCTAGGAGTTATATCAAATACAGCAAGTTATTTAAGATTATGGGCATTAAGTTTAGCTCATTCATAACTTTCAGAAGTTTTCTTTGAATTGTTATTAGTACAACCAATAAATCATGGATAGCCAATTAGTTTAATGATTGGATTTCCATTCTGGGCTTTGATTACTTTTGGTGTACTAATGTGTATGGATAGTATGGAATGTTTTTTACATTCTTTAAGATTACATTGGTAAAGATTGTTCATTATAATTTAGGGTAGAATTTTAGAATAAGTTTTATAAAGGAGATGGAGTTTAGTTTAAGGTGTTTTCCTTTAGAGATAGAATTAAAGAAAGTATCAATTTAGAATCTTAATGAAGGATTAGAGTTATGTTTTTAGTATTAATTGAGATAAGATATTTAGTCTTAAATAATTATTCTCTTTTACACATATTCTTCATTGAAATAAAATTATTATGAATAAGAGAGTTGATCCGTATTAATTAAATATTAGTTATGAAAATGACATAATCAAGACTAATATTTTAAGTAAAGGAGAACACTTAAGTTCACAAGGAGTTGACAATTAAATGAACTTACCAACAGAGCTTGATGGTATTTGATGAATTAAAAAATTTAAGATTATGAAGGGCCTACTCTTTTTTATTGTCATCATTGTAAAATGGATTCAGTTTCCTCTTGTGAATATTAGGCTACAGGTTAAACATTTCTTTGTGCATTTCTTCTATTTTTTATTCTAAATATTTTCGGTTGTTTGATTCCTTATAGTTCAACAGCATGTAAAGACAGAAGGCAAATATGTCCAAGATGTAGAAATTTAATTGGAATCAAATATTATAATGCATGTGCATGTTGAAAACAAAATTTACAACCTAATAATTTGATTGATAATTATTTATTGTATGATTAATAATTAAATTTATTAACCAGTTGAATTCATATATTCATATACGATAGGAAGAAAGGAAGGGTAGCATTTATAATTAAAAAATGAATTACCATTAAAGAAGAGAAATCTATCAGAAGAAGAGAGAAGATAAATAAATAGGGATATATAAAATAAGTTTAATAACAAGAAAATTTTAAAGAAAAAAATTCATAAGCAAATTATTATTAAAATAAACCATAAGAAATACTTAAAATTGTATTGCATATGTATTTATTTTTTAGATTTAATAAATTGAAGTGTAGAAAAAATAAAGTGAAAAAATTATCTCTTGGAAAAAAAATAAAAATAATAAAAAGAGAAAGAATCTATCAATTAAATAAGGAAGATGATGAATAATTAAAAGTTAAGGATGCATATGATAAAGAATATGATAAAGGTAAAGTTAAAAAAATTAAGAAGAAAAGAGAAAGTTAAACATTAGATTTTGATAAAGCATATAAATTAAAATATAATAAATGAATTAAAAAGATGAATAATTTAATGAAGAAATCTGTGTGAAAATAAAGACCTTAGATAATCATACTTTAGATGTTCGTATTAAATAAAATCAATCTGTGAATGATCTTAAAAATTAAATTGAAATAGTAACCTGTTTATTTTTAACCAAGGTCTCAAGCATTCCATCATCAAGATAAAGATTACTATTTAAGGGGAGATAACTTAATAATGAGGATACTTTGATATCTTTAAACATAGAGGATTAATGTGTTGTTCATTTAGTTGCCAATATGCCTGAATTTGAATCATCTCCTTTAAATAGAGGATTATCTACTAGTTCATTTGATGAGCATGATAATAGAAATAGTTGTATTTATATATTAAATATACAGTCGATGTACAAGAGAACAGAAGAAACTCTAGAAAAAAGGTATTATAGCAAAGATTACATGGATTTTAATAACTACCAACAAGGAATTCATTGTAATAAAATGTTATGACATTACATAATCTATTATAATCATTTAATACAGTAGCTGAAGCCATTGAATAGGGATAAATATTTGCTTAGAAAGACTTTGAACTTGGTTAATGGATAGATTTTAAGGATTCTTAAGGAGAATGGATTGAAGGTTATGTTGGATAGAAATAATAAAATCAGGTTTTAATTATTCATTAAAATGGAGAAGAATGGATAGGAGTTCCATCTAATAGATTAGCATTATTCAGATCTCATACAATACAAAAGACTTATCACATGTCTCCTATTTTAAATAATCATGAATAACAATAATTATGGAGTTTTAGTGAATTACTTGGTTAAACAGCAATGTTATTATCAAGAGCTGGCAATATGATGTCTAGATTGGCAGATAGTGTAGAAGACAAATCTATTCCATAAAGTAAGAAGGCTGATATGTCTAATCTTATAACTGGAATGATTGAGGAACAAAGAAGGATACAAGAAGAAAAGGTTGAAAAATAAGATGATGTTGCATCTCTTAAATCTATGAAGTCTATGAAATCAGATAAAATATCTATTGATTATGAAACATCATCAATTAAATCTATGAAGTAAATTTTAATGACTTAAATTAGATCTGATATCTCTAAATTAACTACATATTTTATGGGGCATAATCATAATACAATGATGGCTGAAAATATTGCAGAAGAAGAAGAGAACAGTAGTTAAGATATGTCAGTTGATAATCAAAGAGATGCTCCAAATATTTCCAAAGAATTTAAGGAAAATTATATATATTATGAGACTTCTTTGTTGGCTGCCTAATTAGCCCCTTTATCTGATAGACTAGGGAGATTATTGTAATATTTTGCCTTTATTTTTTATAGAGTTGATTTATCCCCATATCTTGCATTGAGTGGATCCAATATAAACAAGTAATCTTATGTTATATGAAGTATCTTTCAAAATCATCCTAATTCCAATATATCCAATTTATCCATAATAACTAATGAAGGCAGTCAGTATTCAACTTAAGCTAAGCAATATTATTTTTAAGTCCCTATTATGTTAACTCCTTATGAATTGCATACACAATCATAATATGGAGCATCAGCCAACAGAATTGTAGGAGATAATTTAGATATTTTGAATCATTTAAACAATAATAATGGAAATCCTAGACAAAAGAGAACCACTAAAAAAGAAGAAGAAGAAAAATAATAATTTGTAACATTATCTAAAAATAAACCAACCTAATCATATCAATAATAATATTAGTAATAATAATAATAATAATTATAATAATATCAATAAATGAAAGAATCAAATTTTTAAAATACTGAATAAGATGAAACATAATATTTATAATAATATTAATAATAAAAGAAATAATCTATCGATGGATAAATTAAAAAGAAAAAGAAAGGTAAAGAAGTATCTTTTTCAGAATAAATTAATCAACTAAAAAAAGACAAATAATTTTGATAAATATAATATATATATATAAATGATTATATAAAAAGAAATAATATTTCATTCTACTCAATAATTCTTGAACATATAATAAAAAAACTTCATTGTAGTTGGTGGGTAAACAATTGAATAAAATTTATCTTTTTGAGATTAAAAAAATTCCAACTATTTAAATAAATCATAATAATATTACTTCATATGAGACTTCTCTCTAACCATTTATATCAATCACCCATTTTTCACAAGCTAACATGTCATCCTCTTTATCAATTTTAGAATTTCTATATATATTTTACATCCAACTATATTTTGGGGTTTCTTTACACTTTTCTATACTTTTCAATTTCAAATATTCTTCTGAACTTTTCATAAATTTTAATTCAATATCTGCTATACCCTTATAAGCATAACTAAATAAATCATATTTCATTTCAATATCTATAAATTCTTCATGTTCATCTCTTTCTGGATTATCAAATGAATGTAAAGTAATAAAAATATCTTTTAAAAATGATTTTGGATATCTATAATATTATTCTTAATTTTCTTTCTCCTTATCATTTTCATTATTATTAGACATAAACTTATAATTTATTTAATTAATTTAATATAAATATAATTTAAGGAATGTGATAATTTTATAATTTGATGAAAAAAGCATCTACTTTTAATTATAATATATTATACTAATATATATGTAACGTCCAAAATTTATGAAATAAAAAATAAAATTGGATTTCCTCCTGAAATAGCAGAAAAAATTAGAGAGTCTATTGACAATAATTAATAATTGCCTATGACAATTGAAATAAAAATTGGAAAAGGTATGGAATTTGAAGTACAGTTGATTTGATTTTTCTTATTAATTTTACATTAATTATGTATTGGAATATCTATCAAATAGGGTAATAGAATCTTTTAAACTATTATAATTATCATATGTTAAAATAAGATCCATAATAATAAATGTCTTTATCAATTAACAGTTTGAAATAGTAAGACAAAGGTATATTAGTTGATTTGCCAACAATAACAGGAGTTATAAATCTAAAGATTATATAAATCAAATGATATCAGCTAAATGATTTGAGTTGGAAAGACTAGCAATACAAGATAAGGTGGAGATAAACTAGTTTGTGATAGTGGTTTAACACCGCTTACTTATGATATTAGAAAGGATTTTCATCGTAAACAGCTTTAAATAGATTATGGAGAAATTCAAAGAATGATGAAAGATTTACATTCTATTCAATCAGAGTTCATGAATTAACCAGAAGAAGAAGAAAATGGATCAGATGATGGAAATAAAGGAAAAAAAAGATACAATAAGTTTTGATCTATTCAATAAATATACACTCATTAAAAGAGTATACTTAATAGCTTTTCTAATTCTTATTTGTGTACAGTTGGGGATCCACTTGCTGTTGATGCTGAAGGTCTTCTACCACAAAATGTTAAATATTGATGTTTAATTTTGCCTTATTGATGTAGCAAGGATAAAACCTAAATAAAATTAGATAATACATTTTAAATTCTTGGTTCTAAATATTGCCAACCACCTGAATTTTAATGTTCTTCTTAACAGAATACAAATTCTGCATTTTCGTATTGTTAAGCAACAACTCTGAAATGGTCATATGGAAAAGGTGCTAATTATTCTACTCTAAGAATGGCAACATCCTAAATATATTTATAAATATTTACATTTCTTTTTGTATCCTATCTTTTTTGTAAAATATCATAATAAACTTGACCATAACAAATAACAACTTTTTATATTTCTTTAGGTGCTTTAATTTCTTCATGAGAATCAGGAATTAATCTATGGAATCTAGTTCCTTCAAGGAAATGAGAAATTTCAGAAGTGGCTTTAGAGAATTTAAGTAATCTTTTAGAATTGAATAAAATTAAAGGTTTTCTAAAGTCTCTTCTTAATTATCTACGTAGAGAATGGAAATAATTGGAAGGATTTGAACAAACACAAACTTAGAAATTAGAATCTAGAATCTATCTTTTAATTCTCTATTCTTTCATTTAAAATACAATATTAGGATCGTCATCCATTAATTATAAAAATCTTTCCATTCTTCCACTAGAATGTTCAGGTCCTTAACCATCTAATCCATGAGGTAACATCATAACAAGTCCTGATGGTACATTCCATTTAGATTCTCCTGAAGTAATGAAATTATCTATCATTATTTATGCTCCATTTGCAAAATCTCCAAATTATCCTTCCCAAATTGTCAAAACATTAGGATTTGATTGAGAATATCCATATTCGAATCCTAAGACTCCATATTCTGATAATGGAGAATTATAAACTTCAAATCTATTATTTCCCCCAGCAGGTATATAATTCCTAAGTGGATAATATTTAATATCTTTCTTTTGATCATTAATTACAGCATGTCTTTATGAAAATGTTCCTCTTTCACAATCTTAACCACTTAATCTAATGCTAAATCCTTCATGTAAGAGAGTGCCAAAAGCTAAAGCTTCAGCTGTACCAAAGTCTATGCCTTTTCCTTATTCAATAGACTACTTTCTTTATTCATAAATTCTTTTAACTTATGGATGAACAGTTAATTCAGCAGGTAAATTATTAACTTTCTCATTTAACTCTAATAAATCTTTCAAAGCAACACCTGTATCCTTTACCTTTCCCCATTTGGTTACTTATTAAATTTTTTCCCATGGTTTAGGTACCCAATGTACTTTATCAAAAGTTTCCTTTTAAATGTTTTTATAAGCTGTTTCAAGACTATTATTTAATTTCTTAATTTCATTATTTGCAAAATCATCTGTAATAACTCCATTTTTTCTTAATTATTGATCATATATTTAAAATACAGGTTTTTATTTATTTATGATTTCATACATTTATGGTTAAGTAAATGCTGGTTAATCTTATTCATTATGACCATATCTTCTATATCCAATTAAATCAATTACTATATCTTTTTTAAATTACTATCTAAATCTAACAGCAATTTTAAATATTTCTTCAACAAGATCAGGATCATCAGCATTCACATGAATAATTGGTACATCAATAGCTTTTGCAACATCTGTACAATATAAACCAGATCTACTATCAATTGGAGTTGTAGTAAATCCAATTTAATTATTAACAACAACATGGATTACACCTTCATTTGAATATCCATTTAGATTTTCAAGTTATAATGATTCATAAACAACACCTTAACCAGCCATAGCAGCATCTCCATGAATAATGATTCCTAAACAATGTTATTTATTGCCACAAATATCTTACAATGCTCTAGTCTTACCTTATACAACTGGATTAACAGCTTCTAAATGTGATGGATTTGGTAACATAGTCATTCTAATATGATGTCCATCTGGAAACTATTAATCTCTTGTAACTCCCAAATGATATTTCACATCTCCAATATTACCCCATGATTCTTCTATTTCTTTACTATATTTATTTTAAAATTCTGCAAATATTATTTCTAATGGTTTCTTAAATACATTAGCTAATGTGCTTAATCTTCCTCTATGAGCCATTCCTACAATAATATGTTCAACCTTATTTTGAGCACATTAATCTACTAATGCTTCTAAACCTACAATTAATGTATCTGTTCCTTCAATTCCAAATCTTTTGCTAGTTGTGAATCTNATAGACTACTTTCTTTATTCATAAATTCTTTTAACTTATGGATGAACAGTTAATTCAGCAGGTAAGTTATTAACTTTCTCATTTAACTCTAATAAATCTTTCAAAGCAACACCTGTATCCTTTACCTTTCCCCATTTTGTAACTTACTAAATTTTTTCCCATGGTTTAGGTACCCAATGTACTTTATCAAAAGTTTCTTTTTAAATGTTTTTATAAGCTGTTTCAAGACTATTATTTAATTTCTTAATTTCATTATTTGCAAAATCATCTGTAATAACTCCATTTTTTCTTAATTATTGATCATATATTTAAAATACAGGTTTTTATTTATTTATGATTTCATACATTTATGGTTAAGTAAATGCTGGTTAATCTTATTCATTATGACCATATCTTCTATATCCAATTAAATCAATTACTATATCTTTTTTAAATTACTATCTAAATCTAACAGCAATTTTAAATATTTCTTCAACAAGATCAGGATCATCAGCATTCACATGAATAATTGGTACATCAATAGCTTTTGCAACATCTGTACAATATAAACCAGATCTACTATCAATTGGAGTTGTAGTAAATCCAATTTAATTATTAACAACAACATGGATTACACCTTCATTTGAATATCCATTTAGATTTTCAAGTTATAATGATTCATAAACAACACCTTAACCAGCCATAGCAGCATCTCCATGAATAATAATGCCTAAACAATGTTATTTATTGCCACAAATATCTTACAATGCTCTAGTCTTACCTTATACAACTGGATTAACAGCTTCTAAATGTGATGGATTTGGTAACATAGTCATTCTAATATGATGTCCATCTGGAAACTATTAATCTCTTGTAACTCCCAAATGATATTTCACATCTCCAATATTACCCCATGATTCTTCTATTTCTTTACTATATTTATTTTAAAATTCTGCAAATATTATTTCTAATGGTTTCTTAAATACATTAGCTAATGTGCTTAATCTTCCTCTATGAGCCATTCCTACAATAATATGTTCAACCTTATTTTGAGCACATTAATCTACTAATGCTTCTAAACCTACAATTAATGTATCTGTTCCTTCAATTCCAAATCTTTTGCTAGTTGTGAATCTNTCACAATCTTAACCACTCAATCTAATGCTGAATCCTTCATGTAATAGAGTTCCAAAAGCCAAAGCTTCAGCTGTACCAAAGTCTATGCCTTTTCCTTATTCAATAGACTACTTTCTTTATTCATAAATTCTTTTAACTTATGGATGAACAGTTAATTCAGCAGGTAAGTTATTAACTTTCTCATTTAACTCTAATAAATCTTTCAAAGCAACACCTGTATCCTTTACCTTTCCCCATTTTGTAACTTACTAAATTTTTTCCCATGGTTTAGGTACCCAATGTACTTTATCAAAAGTTTCTTTTTAAATGTTTTTATAAGCTGTTTCAAGACTATTATTTAATTTCTTAATTTCATTATTTGCAAAATCATCTGTAATAACTCCATTTTTTCTTAATTATTGATCATATATTTAAAATACAGGTTTTTATTTATTTATGATTTCATACATTTATGGTTAAGTAAATGCTGGTTAATCTTATTCATTATGACCATATCTTCTATATCCAATTAAATCAATTACTATATCTTTTTTAAATTACTATCTAAATCTAACAGCAATTTTAAATATTTCTTCAACAAGATCAGGATCATCAGCATTCACATGAATAATTGGTACATCAATAGCTTTTGCAACATCTGTACAATATAAACCAGATCTACTATCAATTGGAGTTGTAGTAAATCCAATTTAATTATTAACAACAACATGGATTACACCTTCATTTGAATATCCATTTAGATTTTCAAGTTATAATGATTCATAAACAACACCTTAACCAGCCATAGCAGCATCTCCATGAATAATAATGCCTAAACAATGTTATTTATTGCCACAAATATCTTACAATGCTCTAGTCTTACCTTATACAACTGGATTAACAGCTTCTAAATGTGATGGATTTGGTAACATAGTCATTCTAATATGATGTCCATCTGGAAACTATTAATCTCTTGTAACTCCCAAATGATATTTCACATCTCCAATATTACCCCATGATTCTTCTATTTCTTTACTATATTTATTTTAAAATTCTGCAAATATTATTTCTAATGGTTTCTTAAATACATTAGCTAATGTGCTTAATCTTCCTCTATGAGCCATTCCTACAATAATATGTTCAACCTTATTTTGAGCACATTAATCTACTAATGCTTCTAAACCTACAATTAATGTATCTGTTCCTTCAATTCCAAATCTTTTGCTAGTTGTGAATCTGTTTTTCAAAAATTCATTAAATAGATCAACTCTAGCCAATCTCTACCAAGTTGCTGTTTATGTTTCCTTACTTGGTTTCCATTATGCTATTCTATCCATTTCTTGTTCAATCCAATGTTTTTATTCAGTGGAAACCATGTGAATGTATTCAACTCCATATTTTTTTGTATATATTTAAGATAATCTATCATAGATCTCTCTAATTGTCCATTCATCCTTAGCTTCCATAAATGGCTTAAAATATAAAATAATAATGTACATAGATAAATGATCTTTAATCCTTATTTCCAAAATAAATTGGAATATCTAATTCTTCCTTCTTAAACCCAAAACTATCCAAAGTCATCTCTGGTCTTGAACCCTTTACTCTACCGTATTCTTTTGTATGAGGTAGATCTAATAGTAATTCACAAAATTAGATTACTTAATGGATCTAAATCAGCCAATTAATGTCCACATACAAAAAACATTCTAAACATATAATAAGTGCGATATAGCAATTATATTTGTTTAGCATGATCTAATGGATTCAAAGAAGTTGTGCCTTAGACGCCTGCTCCTCCATTAATCTAGTAATAATACTAAAAGTAAACTTATTCGCTAAAATATTGTCTCCATCCTTCAGGAACTGATTAAGGGTTCTTTTACCAATGTTCAAATAGCCCACTAACATATGTAGCTGAAAAAGGATATCTTATTAGTTTATTTGAGGCTCTAATCATCTAATTAAAGATATTAAATATTAAAATTATTCACATAAAATATATCAAGAATTATTATAATATCAATTTATAATAATTAATAAATGTAGCATAAACATCAAGACTAATTATTTATTTATAATAATTCGTAATTTTATCAAAATCTCAAATCAAAATTATGAAATATATTTATTATTAAATATTAAATTACGCACTTTCTGAATTTATCATCAATAACTATTAAATCTATAAACTTTCATTATTTTAAGATTAAAGCAATTGAAAATTCAATTTGTATTTATTAAAATTCATTTTTTTATTAATAGTTAATTATATGATTATGAATATTAAATTAAAGGTTTCTAATATTATTAATATAATATACTAAATCTTTAGAGGTTCTATAAAGAAATAATAAAATTTGTTTAAATATAGATTAATATATTATACACTGTTAAAATTACATTTTTATTTTTTAGTTATTTATTGACTTATTTAATCTATAATCTATAAAATGGCTTTGATAAAGAATAAATATGATGATAATATTAAGATGTAAGAAATTAATTTTGGAAGTTTTGAATCTAAAAATTCAATAAAGTTAATAAATATTATCAACAAAAAAAAAAGAATAAAAATAATTATTCACTCATTACATTTTTAAGAACTTTTATTTTATATTATAACTTATGAATCTATTAAATTCTCTACTCTCAAAAATTGAAATTTTGAGATTATATCTACAGTAAGTATATTTAGATTTGAAATTATTAAATTCACTTATAAACTCTTAATAGTAATTTATTTAAAGTAGAAATAAACAAAGCTTACTTCATTATTTTATCATTTTAGTTTTGAAATATAAATTTTGAAAAAGTCATAAGAAATTGTTGAACATACTAGTCTTTGGTAATTTTGAAAAGTGTAAGAAGGAGCTTACAAAATTATAAAGTTAATACAAATATTATATCAAAATATTTAAAGATTTTAGATCTCAGACAGCTTTTTATTCTATTATTATATAAATTATCCAATCAAATTAATATAAAATTGTGAAATTTCATTCTTAATTTAAGAATAAGAGTTTTAATAATATTAATAAAAAATAAATGGCAAGATAATCTAAAGGTTAAAAGAAAGGTCCCAAACCAGGTAAGTTTTTAAGTAAATTTAAATAGCCACTAAAAAAATTACAAAAAAACCAGCTGGCCCTAGATAAACTAGAACAATCAAGGCTGCAGTTGCTGAAGCTTAAGCCACAACTTAACCTAGTGCTGGATAAAGAAAATTACCAAGATAGAATAGAAGAAATAAGTAAGCCAAAAAAGCTACATAAAAGAAAGCAACATAATAAAAAAAATGAATGGATATATAATTAATAAAATATTAAAATAAAAAATTTAATTGATTTCATGTTTTTCAAGTAATAATCATAGATGATTTAAGCTTTAATCGATTCTTTGGATTTTAGTAAAAACTTGATAATTTATTAAAAAATGAAAGCTTGACAATTGAGACAATTTTTAATGAAGATGATATATTGTAGGAATTAAAAGGATCAAGCTCAGTAAAATTTGCTGATTAGTAATTAATATTGTGTCATTTAGCCTTATTTAACATCCGTAAGAATACAAAAAAATGATTGGGTATATTGTTGATGAAATTACTGATGAATCTTTAGATAAGACTTAAAGAACAAAGTTTTAAAATATATAAATATAATTAGATATCCATTTTATTCAAGTGAAATTTTAGGATAGGAGAATGAAAAACTCATAAACTTTTTATTTGATAAGCCTGAAGATGAAATGTATGAAGAAATAAATAATCCAATTGAAGATGATGAAACATAATTAGTAGAAACAATAAATAAGAATGATTAATTGAAAGAGAATGAAGAGATAAGGGCAAATTTGTTAAATAATTTATTACAACTACTTGAAAATGATGCTTTGATAGTTACAACAGCAGGATATTTTGCTAAAGCTGTAAATACAATAATTCTTAAAAGAGGAGTTTGTGTAAATTATGATTAATATATAGTTTTGGGAACATTTGAAACATAATCCATAGGTTATTTCAAATATGTTTAAACATTGTTATCTAAAACATATTGTAGACATATTTGATAAATTGATTTCTTTAGATGATAATTATGAATAGCATAATTAATATATGAATGATAGATTAGCTTTAATGCAAAGATTAGCATTAATTTTAAAAGGAAAAGAATATTCATAAGTGATAGTTTAAAATATATGTGAATTATTTGAGGGATAATTTAAAAAAGCAGTATATTAGTATGAAACTTAAACTTAAGAATACAAAAAGATGTTATTACAATTTATATAACAATATACTCCTTCATTTTTTATGTCTATAGCTTTATCAACATAATAAGCAGTGGCATATAATGTTATAATAGCATAATTAGAATTTTTGAATAAATTAGCTTTTTCAAATGAACATTAAGATTAAATTGAGAATACAGAAAAAGAAAGTCTCAAGATTCCAGATATTGTTCAATTATATTCAATCATTATAAAAGACTTTTCATAAGCATTAAATTAAAAAGATTAATTTACTTTATCATTTAAATCTACTGATGGTTTTTGTATTACACCTTTGGGGGAATGTAAATTATCATTAATCTATTTGATAAATAATTTATTAAGTAAATCTGAATTACAAAATTACTATTCATATAACATATTTTAATCAATAATAAATCTTGTTAACTAACATCGTTCAAATAATTAATTACATTTATTATTTGAAAAAATAGTATTGACTGTATTTTCATCTAATAATGAATAATTATAAAAAGAAATGTTTTAGGAAACCAATTTAATTACATTTATAATTTAAAATAATAATGAAGAAGCTAGAAAGAATAAATTTGGATTTTAAGGTGTATTAACACGACTTTCAAATTATTTACATTAGAATTAAAGTTAATCTAAATAATTTCAGTTAGTTTTATAACAAAGTAATCATTATTTTTAATTATAGTGAATACTAATTGGAATTAATATATGGATGGTTTGGATAGTGTTAATAAATATGAATAAGAGTGGATCTTAGGAGTTAATCCAAAATAAAAAGCATTTTAAATATCTGAAGAAGTTTCTAGTCCAAATATTATAATGCCTGAACCATTAGTTTAATATGCATATACATAACCATCAGGATTCAGAAAATGTGAAAGTTTTGAAAATAATGATGAAGATAATGAGGGTAAAAATGAAGAAGAAATTTAATAAGAATAAAATGAATAATAATAAATAGAATAGATAGGAACAGAAACTGATTAAAAATAAGAGGAATCTAATCAGAATAATAATGAACAAAAGGATCAATTAGAATTAGATTCTACTGCTAATATTAAAGAAGAAATTATCAAAACTTAATAAGAATATGTATCTTTAGATGAATAGAAAAATGAATAAGATAAAGAAAATTAAATTAATGAAAATGTAAATGTAGATAATTAAATTGAAAATAATTAATTGGATCAAAATAATGATGGAAATGAAGAGATAATTCATACTCAGGAAGTTTAAGTGGAAGAAAATTAAAAGACATAAGAAAATAGTTTAACTGAGCAATAAGATATTTAAAAAGAAGATAAGGAACCTAATCCTAATTAAGAAGAATTAATAAAATAAGATGATAATGAATAATAGGAATGATATATTATTATTTTAAAATTGTAATAAATAAATTACATCTATTAAATTGATCTTTTTCTGACCAATTATAATAATTATTGAAATGAATTTCAATAAATGAAGTATTGAAATCCTAAATTAAAAGTAATTTTCTCAATAATTCTTAATTTTTATGTTTTTATCTTAGTAATTATAATTATAGAATGAAAATGTTTTCTGATTGAAGATTTAACTTCTTACTTATATTATTAAAATTTAAATTAATAATGCAGGAGCCATTTAAAGTGAGTATTAGAGTGAAACCATATGAAGGAAGATCAAGATTTCTCACTCAGAGAATAGGAAAAGAAACTGTACTATTGAAATAATCAATAGATTATATAAGTAGAATGTCCAACTTAGACAATACGAGATCCTGATACTTATGAATAAAGATCATTTGCATTTGATAATGTGTTTAATGAAGGAGAAAGCACACAAGATATATATGATACAGTAAGAGAATATAATATATAATATTAGTCAATATCATAAATGATTTATGATTGTGTTTCTTAAGGATATAATGGTACAATTTTGGCTTACGGGTAAACAGGTTCTGGAAAGAGTTACACAATGTTTGGCAATTTATATGATCCTTTAGTAGAGAATGATGGATTAGTTTCAATGGTTTTAGAATAATTATTCTAAATGAACGTTAAAATTAGTATTTCATATTTGGAAATTTACAATGAATAAATAAGAGATTTAATTGGAGATTAAGTTGGTTTATAGTTGAATGAAGATCCTATAAAAGGAGTCATGTTATAAGATGTGCAAGAATTGTAAATTATGACGATAGATCAAGCTAAATCAATAATAATTAATGGCAATTAAAAAAGAGTTATGGCAGCAACTAATGCAAACTAATTTTCTTCTCGATCTCATGCTATAATATAATTATTTGTTGTAAATTAACAATATTAATGCAAATTATCATTAGTTGATTTGGCAGGTAGTGAAAAAGCTAATGTAAATGAAGGTAGTAAAGGAATAAGATAAATGGAAGGAGCTAATATCAATAAAAGTTTATTAGCTTTAGGAAATTGTATAAATATGTTAGCTTGTGATTAATCAATGAAGAAATTTGTACCTTATAGAGATTCAAAATTAACTAGACTTTTAAAAGATTCATTAGGAGGAAATACTAAAACTCTTATGATAGGATGTGTATAATAAGTAGTTTAATGTCATGAAGAAAGTATTAATACTTTAAAATATGCATCCAGAGCAAGAGCTATTAAAAAAAAGATTGTTTAAAATATTAAAATTAATGATATTACAAATTGTAATTGCAATTGTAATTCAGAAAATGTAGGTTTATTATAAGCAGAGATTGAAGCATTAAAATAGGAAGTATCATACTAATGTATTTTATTATTATTATTATTTTAATAGGTTAATTAACAGAAGAAGAAATTGAAATTAAATTAAATTTAAAACAAATTGATTAATTATAACTTTAAAATAGAGAAGGTTTAGAATATTTATTATAATAAATGAATTCTGAAATGATAGATGAAGATAGATTGAAAAATGAAATTCTATAATATGAAAGAGCAATTAATGAAAATG